TACACACCGGAGTCTTATATGGCGCATGTACTCTCTACATTCCAAAGAGTGAAATTAGGGACTAGACGTTTAGAGTGAAAATCACTCTCATTTTCGATTGAAATAGTCTGAAAAATGAACCCCTCAGTCGAAACTTGAGTGAAAACTCGATCTTTACGATTGAAGAAATTTTAATCTAAATCGTCTCTAGTCCCTACTGAGTTTCCGACTGTGGGAGTGATTCTTCACTCGAATGGAGAGAATGTTCACTCTTTGGAATTTAGAGAGTATCTGCCAAAAATTAGGTACTGGAGGCGTAGGAAATTATGTCAATAGTTAAAGACAGGATTTATTTGTAGGATTCATGGCCACATGCAAGTGAAGCAGACGACAGAACATCGGAAACTTAAAAATACAAAATTAAGTGTGATAGAAGTACTTTTTGGTTTTTATAAACTTTTACAGACGTGCCTTTTCAGTTTTGTACTATACTTTTATGTTAAGGTATAGTTAGTTTACTTTTCTTAGTCCTGAGAGTACTTGCATCACATATCTGCCCGGTTGACTTGTAAGAATTTGTTGTATAGGTATTCATAGTGAGTTGAAATTATACATGCATGATGCATAAACTATGGGGTTTAGTCATAGAGCTGTTTATAACTAAGGCTTAATATTGGACGACGAGGATTCGATCTGGATGGGTCGCGACGGAAAATTCCTTGTCATTTGTAGGATTCATGGCCACATGCAAGTGAAGCAGACGACAGAACATCAGAAACTTAAAAATATAAAAGTCACAGTGTCATAGAAGTTCTTTTTGATTTTTAAAAACTTTTACAGTACGTATTATTTGATCTGAGCGGCACATATATTGTAATAAATATACTTGTCATACTGCCTATTTTCGTTTCTCTTCTAAAGGCCAGATTTCAACTAACTTTTCACAGCAAGATTTTAATCCCCTTTTTTTTCTTCATTAAAGCTTTGTGAGTATACGTTTTTATACAATTTATAAAGGTATGCCACAATGACCTAAATTTCTCACTAAACAAACACACGAATCCATATAGCTGTGACTTCAAATGGGTCACTTCGTGCATATCATTGCCCGCCCTTGATTCAAGTGGTGCTGTTTATGCAAAAAAAGATCCCCGGAATATTGTAATGAATATACTTGTCATACTGCCTATTTTCGTTTCTCTTCTAAAGGCCAGATTTCAACTAACTTTTCACCGCAAGATTTTAATCCCCTTTTTTTTCTTCATTAAGGCTTTGTGAGTATACGTTTTTATACAATTTATAAAGGTATGCCACAATGACCTAAATTTCTCACTAAACAAACACACGAATCCATATAGCTGTGACTTCAAATGGGGCACTTCGTGCATATCATTGCCCGCCCTTGATTCAAGTGGTGCTGTTTATGCAAAAACAGCCGGAATAAATGGTTTATTGAGCATAAAGTGATTTATTTTAACCAATAAATAATTCAGGCAGTAAAACAACCCTCCAGCTTCCTGATTGTTCTCAAGACAATACCCACAGTACTGCGCGGCAAAGTAAATTCCCATGATTTTTAACCCTAACAGTCCTGAATCCTCCAATTTCAATATGATTTTGCACACCCCCTAGGGAGTTAGGGTTAATAATTTGGTGGTAAAAAGGAAAATTAAGTCGTCTGTTCCGACGGATCAGTCGTGTTTCTCGAAGTCTCATGCGTGCTGCGAACGGATTTTCTGGGGGGTAGCGGACGCAAAAGAAAACTTGGCGCCCTCCGCACGGTATTTTTAGTCTATATAATAGATCATGTAATTGCGAAAGCGACGACAAGCGCCCGACTGTTGTTGTATTATAAAACAATGCATTCGAATTGACCAATCACACTTTTAGTCCTAATTTGGAAATGAAATGACGTCACGATTTAGTAAAGTCGACTCCGATTGGCTGAGGCGCGAGATCGCATTATTCTGCATGCTTTGACAACGTTACATGAGACTTGGCTCCGTGGATAACAGGTGATACTCAGACTATCCGTACGAGGTACATGAAGAAAAATTTGTCGCGATAAAGTGAATACAAAAAGTTTTCCACTCCTTGGATGAAATTAGATTTTATATATAGTGATACTTCCTTCGCGTGACGTATTAAACTAATTTCTATTGAAATTAGTTCTAGATCAGGCTCCGTTTTGTTGTAAATTGACCGGACTATACTGCGACTTTCATGGATAGATCACTGTTGAAATGGTTAAGGAGTTCAGCTTGTTTGTTGATATATTTTACCACCACCATTCAAGTCTTCATTTCCATGGTTTTTCGTCGCAGCCGCGCAATTACAAAATTACAATAGCAGTAGCAGATAACTCCAGAATAATATATTATGATATATATAATAATTATCCGTGCGGATTTGAGACATGTCACAAAGTTTCCCACTTTAAAACACGCTCTCAAAGTCACGCATATCTATCTGATAATAATATTGTTTTCTAGTCGACTTTACTCATTTTTCTCCGTTTGTACAGTATGCTCACAATGTTGCATTTTAGTTGAATTTATACCAACTGGAGCCTGAGGCAGATTAGCCGGAATGAAGCCGTGGTTTTAGGAATTGCCCAGGTGAACGCACGTGATGACGAGTCAGGTGACTTTGTTATCTCACAAGATATACCATGCACAGTAGCGGTAGATTCACAACCGGACAGAGGGTGTTTATGATAATGTATGCACAGTCACCGTGATAAAGATACGCGCGCTATTTCAAAGTACTAATGTACCCAAGTCTTGATGCTCTGAATTTCCTGGGTAGCGTAATTAAAGCGTTACCCTTATTATCCCCTGTGACTGGATTTGATTGATTTAATTCGTCATAGAGCCTGAAAGAGTTTACCCCTGGTGGCGCGCTTCTGGACCCCTTAAGTTGGAAATTCTACAATTTGCGATTCACATTTTGGTACATTGATTTCTTACGAAAAGTCACCCTCGAAAAAAAGGATTTGTGTAAAAAGTGTTACCAGTATCTCAATGTATGGAAACTGAAAAATTGTATGACGTGAAAGAGAAATATCGTGCCGAAATGTACCTCTCACTTCCGGAAAAATCTAAATCCATGCCGGTGAATACTTATTATAATAATAATTTTGTTGCAGCCACTGGGTAAAACTGATACATGTACTTCAATCGGAGACTAAAATGTCTTTTAGTATATACGCTTATAATAAACTTGAAGAACTCATTAGCATTTACCAAAACAATCTAAAATGACCGCTGGTATAAGGACTGCATTCAAGCCAGCCCGACTAAATCTAGAACCCATCGGCTGTATGTAGGCCTCTTCGCGTCGTTATGTATTTTCGCTCTCGAGCATGCAAGTACACGATGTGGAAATAAGCATGCACGAACGAACTTTACAAGGAAACTGCGGGATGTAAAACTCGTTTTTACCAATCTTCAAGTAATTTCTTATCATTGTTTTTCTTTGAGGAATACTCGGATAAAATTCTAACATGAGTGTTTCTTGGGTTGTTTACTGTCAAATTAGCAAGAAAAAGGTCAACCTAGTACAAAATGCCCATAGGTGGGGGCGCGAGAGGTACGGATCCGGAAGATCGCTGCGTGACCTTTTTACTTTCCAGCTCTATATGCGTAGCTTCTTAGATAGCTGTTGGCGTTAAATAGCTGATCTGAATGCTGGATGTTCCGGCAGGTTCAATAACTGTTGGGAATTTCACACTTTCATTGTTTTCCCAAAAAGCGAATTTTGTTCCTTAAATTGTGTTTAATCAATATGATCGATAAAATAAAATTCAACCTTTTTGTCACATTCTTGGTTCTGGAGGATTTTGGGGAGGTTATGGCATAGAACCATTCCGTTTCCAACTGACGTATGCGCATTATGGTCATTGACTATACTTGGCTGCATAAAACAAATAGTTGCGTCCCGTTGAAGTGTTGTGTAAACCTGACCGGAAACCCACCCGACCTGAAGCCAACTTCGGGTCGGGTCGGGCCGCATTCAGGGAGTTCAGATCGGTTTCGGGTCGGATTCGGTTTCTATCTATAACTAGCGGAACTAGAACTAAAACTAGCTTTGCGCGACACCCGCTAGCTTGGTTGAGTCGCACAGTTCGTATTGTTTGCAGAAGTTGTCAGTGAAAAAAGTTATTATAAAGAGGTAAATAAATAACCAAAATCGGGGCAAATCGGCAAGGATGCATCTTGATACGATCATCTGACCAGACAGATATTTTCTTCATCGTATTATTTTGTCCGAAAATCCCCCTAATTAATCCAAATTCCCCTCAAGAACATCAGCTACAGATTCGCCCCCCCCCCCCCCCCTGAAAACAGGACGCTGGGAAGGGCTGACCTCTTTGAGCTCTCAGATAATCTTTGGAAATCAATATAAAATCAATCGTGAGAGACCTGAACTTGACGTTTGCGGGAATTGATAGAGTAGTCCAGGATCTTAATTTTATCTTAATTTTATCTTTATTCTACACGTGCTAAATGGCGTGACCCAATTCCTTCCGGTTGAAACCGGAAGCGCCTTGTTATTTAAAATTGGTGAAAGATGTACACTTGCTTTCAACGATGTATGCTCTGGCTAAGTTGTTCTTTACCATAACATTATAGTTATACTAACAATTGATGTGACGTCATCATGACGTCATCACGTGACATGTGACGTCATAATTCCAAAGCCCTATGAAATGTAATCACTTGCCACTATTTATTATAAACAGCCTGAGAACTACACATCTTTCCTTGATGGAACTTATATTTGAAACTTTACATGTCACACGTCACAAATTTCTACCGAAACAGCCCTGTGTTTGTCCACAAACATAAATCTAGTTATTATTATTACGGTAAGTTATCGGGCATGTCAGGGACATTTAACTCTGCCGGTCAAAGACTTTATATTACGCAAAGAAATGTCGCGGTAAGTTTCCGCATGTAAGTTTCCGCACGTGTGGCCAGACCCGCTACTACTAGGCCTATCAGCTGCAGTCTAGTGCATAGTGATTACGTGCATAAAGTCCAACTTGCTTACAGGTTGTGATGTTAGACTGCCGCTACGCGTGTACCGTATACGCGATGCGTGGTGGTGGGGGTGCATGTGCAGCTAGCTAGGCAGTAGCACATTGTGCGTGGTGCACGGTGATTGTAAACATTCAACAACTTGTACTTGACAACATGGGTGCTTGCAGTGCACACTTGCAATGGAGAGCTTGGGCAGCTTTACTCGGTGGAGTTCTTGTCCACATTACACTGGGAACAATCTACACATTTGGTAAGTTCGTTATAGCCCCATAAATGTGGCCAATTTACTGGACTACCTCCGTAAATAAACTTTATTAAAGCCCTATAGTCTATACTACAACTGTACAAGACCTATTCCCGTCCCGTCTGAATGGAACAACCTCCCATCACATGTGGTGAATGCAACCTCAACAAACCTGTTTAAGAACCATCTTGATGCCTACTGGAAAGAAATTGGATATGGGGTCACAAAGGCTTAGCCAGGCTTAGCCTATTCTATTCCCATCAACCTAAGTAAGTAAGTAAGTAAGACTTTGTAACCACAACTATGGCAATGAAAACTTTCGTCCACAAAATTGAAGAGTTTACAGGACTGGAATTTAATCAAAAAATCTCAAAACTTTTCAAAATGTAACATGCGGTAAAGCCCCATGTTCTGTTCATCGAACAGACATAATAATAGATCTAGTTGTTGTGATGACTGTGCGCAGTCTACATGTACAGTGAAATCTCGTAAAACCTGCATACTCGAAACCCAAGTAAGAACCTATTCCCGTCAATTGTTGTTGAAAAGAAAATCCATTTGTTTAAGATAGTGGATATTTTGCCGGAGGTAATGACGGCAAACTAACGATTACTAAAGGTTGCCGGCGGCAATCCATATCAACAGAGGGCGCTGTACTCTTTAAAATAGGGCTGAATTATAAGATGTATTAAATTCCCACCGGAAGTTGAGTAGCACGTTTGGTGTAGTGGTTAAGCAAAGGCTCTAATAAGCGGGATGACTCGCGTTCGATTCCGACCACACCACATTTTTAAGTTGTTTTTTTTTTTCATCCCCAAATAAATAAGAATATTCTTCTTTTATTATTTTAACATGTCTCAAACATTTTTTGCAGAGTATTACATTTTCTTTTTCAGATTTGTGGCTCTGGAGGATTTTTTTTAAAAGGGAAATAAAGTCCGAAATTATAAAATGGTCTGAATCCCATCTTGTGAATACGAGGTAACAACGATAATTTTGGCATGGAGCCAGACTAAAACTTGTCACCGGAAAATGTTTAAGTACAAAAAAACAGTAACTGCGCATGTTCAGTGCATATCCGGCAAACTAACGTTTACTAAAGGTTTGCCGTCTCCGGCAAAATATACACTGCCTTTGTTTAACTCAAAATTTGAGCCCATTCCCCTGAGGTTTGTCTTATTGAGATTTCACTGTAGATGTATTCAATTAGTTGGCTTGGCAGAGTTGTAACCAAGTCATTTTTTTCCCCAAGTCAAGTCAAGTCCCAAGTCAAATTTTAGCAAGTCAAGTCAATTCTCAAGTCAATTTTTTTCCAAGTCAAGTCAAGTCTTGAGTCAATTTTTCACAAGTCAAGTCTTGAGTCTTTAAAAAAAAAAAATTAGATGCACATACATGTACTACGTACAGGAACCAGATGAGGAATGGGGTTTATCAAAGCGTGCATCATGTAAGGAGATTTTTTTAAATGTACTTTTTCAGACATCCTCTCTCAAACACCTTAGGATTTGTATCTAAAAAGTCTAAAAAAAACCTCATTTGATAGGGCCTATAATGTTTTCAAACTTGTTTCATCATGTTGAATGTTTGAAGGACATCTGACAAAATGTCCTTCCGAAACGTTTTCGTTTAATGCATGTTGTGAATTCTTTTTGCTTTAGGCCTATGGCAGATTGGAGGTGGCAGCCGTTCTCCAGTTGCATTTAGCATGCTTACGATTAACTACTCAATGTGTACGTGTAGCCTGTGACTACAAATTCGTAGCCTTGTGGAGACTCACACACAATACGGAACAAAACATTGTAAAGGTCTCCACAGGGCAATTTCTATAGATGAATAGGTCTCCACGAGGTTTTCACGAAATAGATATGGGTTTTAAAACCCATAGGAATTTCCAAGGTGGGTTGATTTGTCGCAAATGGAAGAGTTTTAGAAAAGGGATATATATTCCAAATTTCAGCCAAGGAAACTAATCCTGGTTAAAATAAGAGCATTTTGAAAATTCACTTTCAGCCAAGGAAACTAATTCTGGTTAAAATAAGAGTATTTTGCAAATTCACTTTCAAAATTGAACACTTTACTACACGAGAACAAAGAAATGTCTCCACAAGGATACAAATTTTGGAATGGGTGGTCTCTATGGAATGACCACTGTATAACAACTGATGGTACTCAGACTACACACGGGGGTCGCCCGATAGTCCGAAGGTTCTTTAGTCCTAAGGTTTGATAGTACGTCTGAATGCACAAAATTTCCATAAGAGGGGGTTCGTAAGTCCAAAAATGAAATAATCCGAACATGAATTAATCCGAACATTTGATGCAATAGTCTGAAGGTTCATTTATCCGAAGGTTCGATAGTCCGAATTTAGAATAAAGTTAATCAGTCCGAAGGTTCGATAGTCCGAAGTGACAATAAGGTCTGATACTAGTCCAAATCGACATTAAGGTCCGATAGTCCGAATTAACAGTAAGGTCCGATAGTTCGAAGTGTCATACTGACAAACCGTATTCTCAATTTGGACTATCGAACCTCATTGTCCATTCGGACTATCGAACCTTATCGTCAATTCAGACTATCGAACCCTACCATATTTTCGGACTATCGAACCTTATCGTCTGTTCGGACTATCTAACCTTATTGTCGATTCGGACCTTAATCAATTTTCGGACTAATGGGCCCTTTGGACTATCGAACCTTCGGATGATCGAACCTTCGGTTGATCGAACCATGGGACTATTGCACCTTCGGACTATTGCACCTTTGGACTAACAAACCTTCGGACTAGTCCCTTCGGACTAAAGAACCTTTGGATTATCGAACCTACAAACTATCCGGCTGTAACCCTACGCACAGCACAAACTTCACCTCACATGCACGATGTCGAGTATGATACATTGTCCATAACACACGCATAGTGCTAGTCATCTACATGATGTGTGGCAGGCTCAGGATGCCCAGCTATCGCATGCTGGTTGCTAAGTAATTCGCTATACTGCATTCTTTTCAACCGATGATGCTAGTGCGCACGAACGCCCAGAGGTTTTTGGTTTTTTGTAACTTTAAGAAACATGTTAATGTCAGCAAGTCAAATTTATTCGAGTCACGTCAAGTCACAAGTCATATTTTTTCAAGTCAAGTCTCAAGTCATTTTGTTCCCAAGTCAAGTCAAGTCTCAAGTAAAAAAAATGGCGACTCGAGACCAACCCGAGTCCGAGTTAGCGACTCAAGTCAACAACACTGTGGCTTGGGACAACACTCTGTATTGTGGCTGCTGAGATTGGGTGCTCTTGTATAACATACATGTACATGTAAATCCCGAGGACAGCAATACAAAGAATTCCGAACAACAGTTTATTTGTTGGCCTTGAACAACATGAACAAGCATCGTTGGTGAAAACCATCCTTGAATATATTGTGTGTGCTTATGGGATTATATGACCTCCTGGCCTTTCTTCTTGTAGTTGCCAAGAGCTTTCTGATTCAGTACATCTCTGATAATTTACCTTTAATAAAGATGTGTAGGCCTATATGTATTTTTTTAGACACCATGTAGAACTTTCATTTGCTTCATATCTCACCTCCAGTCACATTTTCATAATTGCCAGTGACAGGATGTGATACGTTTGCCTTTATTTTAAGTCCCAAACTTTTGTGTTGTTTGTTGATTACAGTACTGGGATATGGTGGTCCATCCTCCCCCCCCCCCCAAAAAAAAATAATATTCTCATTGAAACTGGCACTCTAAATCATCAATCCTTGTACATGTTTTCTATAGCTGATCCCCCCCCCCCAATCCCTGGATCGGATAATAGCAAATGAAAAAAGTGCTTCAGAGTGGACATCAGAGTAACCATTATTGTTTGGTCTTTATGAACAGGTAACATGTCACCTTATTTCACCTCCTACATCCGTGAGTTCAGTCAGCCACATGATCTTCGTTACCAGGTAAATTTTTATTCATTTAATCCTAACAATCTTCTGTTTCAGAATCCAGCAATTGAAACTACCAGTACATGTGTAGTCAAACTATCCAGATCTAAAAGATTAAAAGCCAATTGAATTGAATTGTTAGATCTTTTTAGATTCAGTACCCATTTGTGATTATTTTTAAATGATTTTGTTCATGTTTTCAAAGTGTTGTTTACCACTTAGTCACACACATTTTCAGAACTCCCCGTTGGTCTTGACAATATTGTCATCAACTATCCATCCGTCTTTGTTTCTGTCCCACTTACATGTACCTTAGGGGCAAGTCCAAATTGTCAGTATTAAGAACTTAATCTTTTCAAAATTGTTTTGATCCACTCACCGTCGGCCACCCAATTTTTTTTTTTTGAAATGTTGAATGGCTATTTAATATACATGTATCCTATACACTGAAGAATAAAGTAATGCACCAAAGGAAGCAGATATTTCTGGTCAATGCTCTCCCTGCTCAGGAATTTTCAATGGCTTTACCAGGCTTCCAGCACAAAACTTTGTGCAGTATTTTTCAGTTCTACTGCGCTCTACTTACCCGTAGAGTATCACTACATATGCATTATTCCCTAGAGGAGGCCAGCCATAAGCTAAGATTTATTACCCACAGTACCTTGCGGCGCGCCAGCCATACTTCCTCTTTTTTCTTAGCAGCGTCAACTTTCTGACAAAGAAATTACAGGGCATAACAGCTAAGCACCAGAAAGAAGTTTCCCGTACCGTCAAAGAGTTCATTCAACTTGGCGTACTACCTACCAATGCTGCTAACCTCATAGTTTCTGCACCACGTGCTGCCTGTTTCTACCTCCTCCCGAAGATTCACAAAGCTAATAACCCAGGACGGCCCATTGTCTCAGCCTGCAGTTGTCCCACTGAGCTTGTTTCCTGCTACCTTGACTCAGTTTTGACTCCTATTGCACAAGCATTACCATCATATGTCAAAGCCACCTTGATGCTCTCCGGCTGTTTGAAGATTTCAGATTTGTGCCCTCTGCTAACAAGCACCTTTTCACCATGGATGTGAAGTCTCTCTATACCTCCATCCCCCACGCAGACGGTTGGTAGCCTTGCAATACTTCCTCGAGTGACGGCCGGACTCCACGCCATCATCTACGACACTCGTCTGTCTTGCAGAACTACCGGTAGTTCTGAGGCTCCACAACTTTACCTTCAACAACAGACAAGGTGGAGTCGCTATGGGTACGCGCATGGGGCCAGGTTACGCCTGCCTTTTCGTCGGGTATGTCGAAGCTAACCTGTTCAAAGACTATACACTGGCCCACTGCCTCTGCTCTACAGGAGGTACATGGATGACATTGTTGGTGTAACATCATCCACAAGGGAGGAACTGAAAAACTTCATTGAATTTGTCGGCAAATATCACCCTGCCCTGCAATTCACCTCAGAGGTTTCAGAGACCACACTCTCCTTCCTTGACATTCAACTTCGGATTGATGGTGAACGGTTGGTAACCTCCATGTTCCACAAGCCAACTGACTCCCACAGCTATCTACAATACGACTCCTCCCATCCACAGTCTTGTAAGGATTCTATTCCTTACTCACAGCTCCTCAGACTACGACGCATTTGTAGCGATGACAACGATTTCAGGCAACAAGCTTCTACGATGGCCACATTTTTCGTGGACAGAGGCTACCCCACGGACATCACATCAAATGCCTTGCGTCGAGTTTCTGCCATTTCCCGCAAGAAAGCACTTACTCCATCGGCTAAGGATGTAGACAAGTGCATCCCTTTGGTCCTCTCCTACCACCCGTTTAACGTTCCTGCGGGTTTGTGCTATCATCATGATAAAGTTCCGCACACTACGAGTTGATCCTTTGACCAGCCACATCTTCAACAACGACTCAACTCCCCTCGTTGCTTTCAGACGTGATCAGTCCTTTGGACAGACTTTAATCCGATCAATGCTCCCACCAGTCTCTGATGTTAACGACATCAACACCGGCACCACAGCTTGCAATCGCCCACGCTGTAATACGTGCATGTCCATCCACAATCCACCCCAGATCGGCGGTCCCAAAGGCAGTTATACACCCAGAGGACAATTCACTTGCGTATCTACCAACCTTGTGTATTGTATCTCCTGCCAACTATGCAGTGTCCACTACATCAGCGAAACAAAGTGTCGTTTGGCTGACCGATATACTGAATACCCTCGAAGTGTCCGACTCAATCTCCCCAGACACCCTGTGCATTGGCGGATCCAGGGGGGTGCTACGGGGGCGTGCGCCCCCCCCCGGCAGTGACCAAAATTTTGTAAAATAAGGCCATTTTTCACTCGAATGAGCCGTTGCGCCCCCCCCCCCCCTCCCGGCACGAACCTCTCTGGATCTGTGGAGATGTGGAACAACGCATCATCTACAAGCTTGGAACGCTCACACCTGGCGGTTTGAATGTGGACTTTTCTGCATTCAAACAGTCAGTCCAGCTCCAATGAAGGCCCAGTGGGGCCGAAAATTCAGCCAGAAAATTCCGTTGAGCACTGCCTTAACTTTTGTTTTCAAATATATTTACAGAGCTCTCGCTTTGCTAAATTTTCTCCGTCTTTTCTCAGCCATTTTTACAGCTAAGTTCATAGTTTTATTCTAATATTTGTCTTCTATTGTTGTTTCTACAAGTCAAGTAAATTTTTGTAATATTTGGTCGGGTTTTTTTTCGTGATTTTTCTTTGGTTGTTACGGGTACATTTCGGGAGTGAGGTCTCGCACAGCACAGGGTGCTGGTCCCTCACTCGTGTTACACGGTTCTTGCGGTAAGAGACCGTGTGCCTGAGGCTTCCCACAGGTTGCAAGGAGCTCACGCCGTACCCATCTAGCGAGGCTTCGTACAGGCTGCAAGCTGCTCGCTTTCCACATTTACACGACCTCTTCTTAACGTGAGGCTTAGTACAGGCTGCAGGTAGCTCACTTCGTACGAAGCAAGTGGGACTTTGCACAGGTTGCTGGCTACTCACTTTATGCTCGTACATCACAACCATTCTCGTGAGGCTTTACATGGGCCGAAAGTCATTCATCCTGTTCCAAACGGACAAGGCTTTGCAGGGGGGAGCGTTGCACGAGTTGAAAGCCGCTCACCCACTACTTACCGACCCATCAGCGTGATATTCGCTACTAAGCCAATCCCTCACGCTGCACCGACTATTTGGAGTCTTCGTCTTCAAAATGATTGCGGTTATTTACCCGGCGGTACCGTGTTATTTACCCGGCAGTTTCGTTGTCTCACGGCTATTTTTTGCTGTACTGAACAAGTGAGACTTTATACGGAGTGCGTTTCGCATGAGTTGAAAGCCACTTCCCCTTACCTAGGTTACAACTTACCGTCCAATCAGTGTGATATTTTCGCTTATTAGCAAATCCCTCACGCCAACACGAACGCCACGTTTTGCTGTTATTTCAACCGCAAGTTTTGTTGTCTCACAGCAGTGTTACTGTGCAGAACGAGTGAGACATTACACAGAGCAAGTGTCGCACGAGTTGCAAGCCACTCCCCCCTAACATGTACCTATGTTACCAGTTACCGTTACACGCTGCACCGAATAATCAGTGCTTTTGCCCTCAAAACGAACACTGCTATTTGACTGGCAATTCGCTGTTATTTACCTGCCAGTTAAGTTATCTCCAAACTTTCGACAGTGTTATGCTTCCGACATACTACTTACTTTATACTTTGAGTACTTACTAGAGCGATACATACTTCATTAGATACCGTAGGCCTATCGCTCTTCAGCCTAGTTTACTGGTCGCCCAAAAATCGTGGTGGCTGCCACACTATTTAGGGCCAATGATTTTCCGCGATCGCGGAAAACGGACGGAATTCGCGGAATCTGCTCCTCGAAACGGAAAACGGAATTTGAATCTGAAGAATATAATTTCTGCAATTTTATTGATAAAAAAAACATAATTTCGTTAATAAATTTATTGAGTACAAAACAAATTATTGATGATTGATTGAACAGACGAGCCATACAACAAATGAGCAGTGTTTATATCATGATTTTGGGGGGACAAAAACGTTCAAGATCAGAGCAATAAATGTTGCGAGATCATTACCGTAGTACGCGTAGTCATGGGAGTGACAGTCCCGACGCATGCCGTAGCTGTCGGTCAGCGCAACGGTGAAAAATCATCACACTCACGGCACGCTCTCGCGGGTCTCTTTTGCTCCATCGGCAGGTTTATTTTTCTCTGTTCAATCAATCAGCCATTCGTATAACACCTAACTTTGGCTCTATTGAAATGCATGTTGTGCTTCAGTCCAAAATCTACCGTGTGTTCTTATTCCTCCATGCGTAAACTATCCAATTTTGTCGCTAACGTTAGCCCGAAAACAAAATGGCGGACATGAATTTCGTTTCGGCCAGCTGATGTGTGTGACGTCATGGGATTGGCCTGTACGGCTATTGCATGTTTCTTGCATGTGTGAGTCAGTGGCAGTGCAGTATACGACTTGACTGTGGTGAAGTTAAATACTATGTCTGTACATTGATCGGCCGTTGATAAAATAGAAATAGTTTTCCCGCGCTCCAACCAAACGACTATTTCATTATCGTCTTGGAATTATTTACTGTGTACATGGTATATGTTTAAATGCCTTTTTATGTATTGAATAAATGTGAAACGGAATTTTTCAGCCTGAAACGGAATTCAGAATTTTTGAAAACGGAATTTGCACTTTTCTGAAACAGAAAATCATTGGCCCTAACTATTGTTCCGGCCGTTCCGATTATTTCAGTTGCCATCCATTTTTACGGCCCTTTTTATACGGGCGTTTTTCCCCGTTCTGAAGTCAGGTCATCCAAGGGGCCCCCAAAGAAGAAATCTTCGGTGATTTCCAAACCCAAGAACACCTTAAAGATTCAGCACATTATTACTTATTCCAGGGGTGTCAAACTGATTCCACCATCCCGGCCAACATGCTAGGCTCCGCCTTTCGCTGTCTGGACCATACACTTCAGGCAGTTCTCGTTGAACTTACGTGTTTGTCCTCATAGCATAGAGACATGACGAGCAGCAATTTTGGATGCCATTATTTTGCCTACCGATGGAGCTCGCAAGCGTCTCGAGTCCCTTCCCTTCCCGGGACGAGATCTCTTTGCAGGCCAGTTTTAGTCTCGTATGCAGGCTGAAGCTGATTGTATCAAGGCTACAGAGAAGATTAATTTGGCAAAGATTCATCCCAAACCGCTTCCCCAGTCTCGTCGGGTATTACCTGCAGCCAGAGGCCGGGGCTCCCAGTGGCGCTCACCGGCTACTGGCCCTTCCTTTAAAGCCTCCCAGCCGTTCAGACCCCGTCGTCATCCGCCACAGCCGTCAAGCCATGGTTTTCGTTCACCGCTCGACGCCAATCCACGGGCCACCTCTCCCCTTCAGCCTCAAACGCCACTCCCGGCAGCGGTTTGGCTGGCGGAAGAGACTATGCTCACCAACAATGGGCCCTCATCACAGGACCTTTGGGAGCTTGTTTGGCCCATTTCGCCAGGTCCTGGGACCAAATCACTTCTGACCGGTGGGTACTCACCACCATCTCACTCGGCTACTGCCTGGAGTTCACAAGTGCCCCGTCATTTGCGTGGACCAACCTGTTTGCCTACGCTTTTCCACCAATCTCCCTACTACCCAAAGTAATCGGGAAGATGGAGCGGGACCCATGCAGGGTCCTTCTGATTGCCCCATTTTGGCCCCGACAGGCGTGGTTCCCACGACTTGTATTGAATTTACATCTCCCGTAACAAAGACTCTACAAAGACTCTAATAATGCCAGTTTTCTTATGTCCCTAATGTTAAAGCCTTCAATACAATATTTGTTATAATAACGGCAAACTAAGTAAAAGCTGTCCATAACAATAGAGAAATGATAGGTAGAATTTATTGGAGAGAATATCTTATCGTTTTTTTAAATTCGGGTACATTTACCGGTATATGTGTATGTTTTGATTACTCTGCAGGAGGCTAGTTTGATCTTTGCTCTGATGCTTGTTGGTCAAGGATCAAGTATGTGGATTGGTGGGTTTCTGGAAAGAAAGATTGGTGTACGTATTGCAGTATTGATTGGAGGATGGACCATGAGGTACAGTTAACTTTTCATGTCGTGGCTCTTAAAGCTACAGCTTTTGCACTCCATTTAAACAGGGTTTGGCTATCTTAAAGTCGCTGTCCAAATGCTCTTCAATACATTTGATTTGTTTCTCCAAACAGCTAGCTTATTCAAACCCCTACTCATTGCAACTTTGGGCATTTACAGCCTTCTGGAACAGACTCGATCTTATTACCTCCACCAAGGAGGTAGTGTTTTCATCGGATTTGGTTAGTTTGTTGCTTGGTTTGTCTGTTAACAAGATAACTCAAAAAGATATGTACGGATTTGCATGAAAATTTGTTAAGGAGTGGACCTTGGTTAAAGTACAAATCATTTAGATTTTGGAAGTGATCCGGATCTGGGTCTGGATCCAGGTTTTTTTTAAGGATTCTTCACCATTTATGCGAGTACGGTATTTCTTTCAGTGTTGGAGTACTCGTACTCGAGTACAACTCGAGTACACGCATGTACTCGGCCCGTACTCGACTATCATTACTCAAAAATTATTTGGACTCGGCCCGTACTTGATTCTTTGTACTCAAATTTTGGCACCGACTTGTTGGTTTGGAGCACAAATCGAGTACATTAAAAAAAGAAAATTGATTCTATACAGGTAGTTCATCCTGGAATGCAATGCGAGTGCGGTGGGGCGGTTGCAGTCTGTATTACGACCATTGATATAGAATAAAAATACTAGATCGGAACTACGGTATGGCTTGTACATCGTATAATCCCCTGAAGAAGGTGCATGTACACACCAAAAGCTTTGGGAGTTATTTTCCAGTGCACGAGCACTGTTATAATTTTAACTTTATGTCATATGCTCCACCGTGCTACGCAGCATCTCCACTTTTGTCATTCATTACAGCTAAATGTATCTGTCCTCCAGCAGGTGACCTAGCTCAACGCGCACGAAGCTAGAAATGCGCACCGAGTATGTACGCGCTGGGCACACACGTGCCGCTTTATGTTTCGGTTACGATACTTTTATTTTCTGCAAACTTATAAACTTGTAAACCTTTACATTGTGCAGGCTATTTACTCAAGAGCAAATGGTTTTCAGTAAAAGCGTTTGCTTAATTTTTATTCATACAGATGGGAGTAAATGCCAAAAAAATGGTAGTAAATGCAAATGCCAGTTTTTATTCAGATGAACTACAGGTACTGTATGGTATTATTTGTACTTATCATCTGTGGGTAGCACACACTGCCATTTCCGGCCTCTTGCTAAGGGCGGGTCGCTGACAGATAATTCCGGCATCGCTCGTTGCGTGTTTATCCATCATCCATTCCAAATACCGCAAAACCTTTGCGTGTATACACGTCATCCGACGTGAACTGGTTAACAGGTTGGGATGAAATGACCCTATGTACATGTGTAAGATTTAGTTGGTTATTTGTCAATTAACATCCGTGCCAAGTTTCATGAATTATACATTTCTGCAGCATTTGATCAAGCTATTGAGGCCAGATGAAACCCCAACTTGATCTTTCCTTCAAGGGGTTATTATTATTTGCAAATCCTACAAATGAATTTCAGACATGGATTAGATCCTGACTGTGCTTATACATTGTATTTACACATCACCCTTCAATACCTGTGGCCAGATCTGATCATCCTTCAATGGGTGTGCATCAAAACCGGGTACATGTACCTGAGTACCCGGCCGCTGATGTCAGGTACTGGTTCCAGATTATGGTGACTAACTTTACAAAGCACTGAGTAACTCTTCAGACAGTGAAAAAGAAAGGTTTTGGATGCCACTTGTGGGGAATTTTCAAAATGAAAACCAGGCTACATGGAAAACCAAAACCATGGATTTCCCGTTTATATGCATTTTAACGACAAGTTGCTGTTTAAACCATAAAGCTATGAAGCCCTTCAGACAACTTCCAGGATTTGAATTGGGGGGTTGGTTTTCTTTTACAGGTACCTGGGTACCCGTGTTTTAGTTCAGTAGGGTACCCAGTTTCCATACTGCCCATAAATGCACACCACTACTTCAACCTCCCCCCCCCCCTTGATTCGCTTAAAGAGGCATCCACAGTCCAAATACTAATTGATTTTGTGAAAGATGGAAAGGTAATTACAATGTACATTGATAAAGGAGACTTGGTGTTTAAGCAAGGATACAATTTAAAACAGCATATCAGCCTCATGGTGTACATGCAAAGCCCACTTGCTCCCTGAAAACCTAGATGCTACCGGTACAATCTTAGCCTCCAAAATAGTTTTTCAGAAATATGTCTTGAACACATTTTCTTGTACATGTTGGAGTCTGATAATTGTGATATTTGTGTGTAATTCTCAATGTAGCCTTGGTGTACTGCTGTCTTACTTCACCATTGAGCATTCATTCACTCTGATGACTCTAACCTATGGTGTACTTCAAGGCATTGGTATTGGTATCGCATATGCTCCACCACTTGTATGTGCCATGCGTGTAAGTATGCCAAAAATCTGCTTTATTTTCATTGCAAAGCTAAGATGGGCCTGTGGTTAATACAAGGTTTCTCCAGGTTAATACAAGGTTTCCTCCCCTTAAACAACTGTACTGCAGTTTTACCTATCTAATGGATCTTCAAGATCACCTCTTTACATTTTGCGCAGGGATGTGCATTTCGTTTTTGAATAAAATTGTTTCAGCACTTTCCAGTACAGTCCAAAATAGATTTATGATACCATATGAGCAGTTAAAGGGAATATACATCATTTGCTTTTGCTGTAATTTTCAGAAATGGATGGAATTGGGGGGTTGGAAACATATAGCAAATATAGTTACACTGATTTTTTTTTAGGTTTTGGGTTCGAAAATGCTATAAAAACCAAGAAAAACAATCATTTTCCTGTAGTCTGGTTCCCTGACTCCATTGAAGAAGAAACAGAGCAGTTTACATACATTGGGGAATTGTAAGGTCAGGGAACCAGTCTAGCTGGCTTGTACCCGTTCATAGGTGTGTAATCGATTGCAAACAAGTGCGATGGTCAATTGGGGCCAGTATTTGAAAAAAGGCCAGTTTTTTCCAACACTGATCGGCCGATCAGCGTTGGAAATTGATACAAAAATAGCACTTTCTTGAAAATGAGAGTATACCAGGTGCCGTGATTTTACAGGATGCTTTACACTGTCATTCACTAACAGTCCAGCAAGGTATTTCAAAATGATTTGGTAGTTTTATTTTTTGATGTTTGCAAATGTTGTATTTTCCCTTTAAGCAGCAGTCATGCATGCCTTCATTAAAAGTCTAGCCTGCCATTAAAATGGTCTGGAATGTTTATGTTTGTAAATTGCCGCTGCTGTAAATCAAGGGAGCATGAGCTACATGTAGATGCTGGTTATTACATGTTTAATTAGCTGTATAATGAGGCATATGGGACATAAAACTAAGAGTCTCAAGGCTATGGCGTTGCATGGTGCCATTGCCATTGAATATGCACCATTGTGTTGTTTCTCTAGGCCCCTACATTTCAACATTTTAAAGTGTGCCCATAATAATCACACAAAATGGTGATTAAATGGTGGGCGTGGCCGTCACCCCCTCTTTTTCCTTTTTGCTGATACCGTTCCAACGCAACGGTAGAGGAGAAAATGAAAGCTGTTTGTAATGATGCCTTGGCACTTGTGGAACGTGAAAATATTACTTAAAGAGGGCTTTTAGGTCAGATTAATTACCTTGAGCCCGGCGTATTGGCGAAAATTTTCCAATTTTCCCATATACGTCGTGTACACAGACAAGAATTACCATTCGTACCCAAAACCCATTGACCTATAGTCATGATATTTCTTGGGTATGTTCGTGAAGAGTTGCTCTATGCATGTACCGAGTTTCAAAATTTTTCGTCACTCAAGGGCTAGGATCTTACGGGTGAAAATAACCTGGCCCTTTTAGGGTTAAACACTATCCAGCTCTCAGTCTAAGTGATACACGGCGGTGTAGACAAACTAAACCCAGCCAAGTACCGACTTGATTTCAAGTCTGGGTTATGGTGGGCATTAACACATTGGTCAGAAGGAAGTGGATTTGCCAGATTCCACAGGCCAAAGGATATTTTGCAGAGCCTGTAGTCTAGTAATGGAATGCTGCCATACATACCGGTATATTCAAAAGTGTTTTCAATTAAAATAAGACCGTAAGGTAATATTACATACAATTTGCATAAGAATAACATGTAATATTAAACATATGGAAACAAACCATCTCCCCATGTAGTGGGCGAGGCAGAGCCTTATAGTAGAACTTTACGTGGCATTAGTTAGTTATTTGTAAATGAATTGTGTTATGATGAGATATTGAATATGTGGTTCAGAATTTTTAATTTTGTTTATATTTAGTGGCTGCCAAAACGGAAAGGTTTAGTCAATGGACTTGTTGTGGCAGGATTTGGCGGTGGTGCTTTCTTCTTTGATCAAATCCAGACAGCATTTATCAATCCTAATAACCTTGTGGCTAACGTGTCATTGCCACAGCGTCCAGATGAAAAGTAAGTATTTTGTCAGATAGTCTGCATCCTGAGCCATATTAGGGGCCATTCAGAATTTTCAATGTTTTAAAATTTCGATCTTTTTTCCAAATTGTGGGTGGGTGGGTCAAGCTAAATAATTGAAAATCGAAATTCACTTTCCATTGAAAAAAGATACAAAAAACAAAGAAAGATAGATCTTTTGACTTGCCTGAACTACGCGCAAACGTTCCGATATCGCGGTGTGTGTTTCTTTTCCAACTTCGTCCCCTGTATGTACTGTCAGTGGCGTAGCCAGGAATTTTTCGGGGGGGGGGGCTGGAACATTTCATGGGGAGGGGGGCATCATGTAGATCAATGATAATTTTTTTTAGAAACTCAAAATCTCAGCGGGGGAGGCGACTGGGGGGCGACAAGGTTTCATGGGGGGGGTCGCCCCCCCCCCCCCCTGGAAACAACAGTACCAAAGTACAGAAAGTCGTACGCAAGAGCTCCCCAGCAAGTATCGCTGACGCCATTATGATTCCAAAATTTCTCACTGTGTCACACATTGAAATAACTAAACAGCGTCGTTGTATTGTGAACACATAAAAGCATTCAAGTCGCGGTTCTTGCACACTTTCTGCAAGTCGACATAGATATCCTTGAACCACTGCCCCTGCTTTGCATAACAAGTGCACATGAATGAACGATTCGACTTTTATTCAAAGAAATTTCTATGTACAGTCACCAGACTCTATTCAGTAAAGTCCCCGTCAAAACGGAAGTAAACAATCCACGTGCATAACGCACGGCTACACCATCGTACAGTGTGGCAGGGACACCAACAAGTAACACAACAACTAATTTTTTTTTTTAAATTGATAAATATTCCGATTGAATTTCGTTAAAATATACTTGTTGGTGAGGTATCACACATTTTATCACATAAAAGAGGAAGACCGACAACTTCACGCTGTCACTGAGCTAGACACACATGTACATGGTGTTCAAGTACATGTACATGTACATGCAAGTGCATGTACATGTTCAGTTTTTTATTAATCGAAATTAGGGGTGGGTGGGTGGGTCAAAAAAAATTGGAAAAAAAGTCGAAATTTTAAAACATTGAAAATACTGAATGGCCCCTTAGTACTAGCATTTGATATACCAGATGGGAAACTCTCAAAGCATTTGCTGTGATCCAGTGAGAAAATCAAATATTAATATGTTATTTCAGGAGTACTGGTGTACACATGCTTGAGACTCATCACACTCCCTACAAACATGAAAAACATATCACACAACATGTTTCAAGGATTTTTAACATTTAAGCTAACAAAAATAGACACTTTCTATCCTTTAAGATCTTATGTTTGCCTTCAAAAGACTACCATGAGCTATGAGGCTAGTACTACTTTTACAGATACATGTAGGGTGTATAAGTTACCTGTAACATACTGTAAACCAGTAGTTTTTGTTTTTGTAGTGTACATGAATTTGTCATTATTTTTGTTTAGATACTTCCAGGAACATTCCTTATTGCAAAGGGTGCCCACTAGCTTTCTCCTTTGTGGTGGATGTTATGCTGTGTTGCAGTTAATAGGGTGTTTGCTGATGTTTGATCAGCCTGACACAAATGTTAAAAATGTGAGTATCGGGGCTCTCTTGACAATTGTTCAACTTAGAAACTATTTTCCCTCTTTTTAGCATCTTCCAACCACTGATGAATAAAAGCCTTTATATGTTGGCTGTATTTGTGCACTACCATATCCCCTTGCAACTAGACTGGCTTCCTATCCCTACATTATTGATTCAGGAATGGGAACTAATCTACCCCTGCCAAAACTGAATTATTGTCAGGCCACAAATAATTCAAAATTTGTAAAGTAATAATTCCAGACTTAAATGTGATCTAATTGCTTCATCAGATGATTCATTCAAAAGTGAATGCAATTTGTGTTGCCAGAAAAACAGCAATTAAACATTAATTTTTCGGAATGAAAGTCAAAAATACTAGTGACAAAACCTCTTCCATCAATCTTTATATGCATTTCAAATAAAGGCAGACAAACAAAAGGAACTGATTTAGCCAGTGACAAGTTTTGTCAAAGTCACAGCATGTAATCTTTAGGGAATAGTAAGTTGAGTAATGAAATTCCGAGCTCTGGGGCACCATTTTAATTTGTGCTGAAACACAACTGAAATTCCAGTCCGAAGACCCTAGACATAGGACCCAACTTGTTATGAAACCTGGGGTAGCTTGAACAGTAAGGACTGGTTCAAACACTGTATAAAGGCAAAGGCAAAACAAATGTGATGTCATGAAACTTTCGCAGTGAAATTTGCCAAAGTTGAAATATGTTGCAACATTGTTGACTGGACGTCACAAATTCAAGTTCACATTCATGCCAAGTACTAGCCATCTAGAGTACCTGGCTTTGGCATGCAGTACGTTGCACATGCATGCTTTGGAAGCACAGATACATCCCAACTTCCCATAGGACACATGCTTACTGCTGGCCAGAGCCAAATAATTAGGACATGATATTGATTGTTCAAGAAGAAGGTTGGGACCTCGATGACAAAAACCAATAGTATTAAGGGGAATATACCATATAACATTTGCAAACATCGAAAACTAAAACTACCAAGTTTTTACGAAATACCTTACTGGGATGTTGGTAAATGACAGTCTAAAGCATCCTGTAAAATTATGGCACCTGGTGTGAAATCATTTTCAAAAAAATGGTATTTTTGTGTACATTTCCAACGGTGGTCGGCCGACCACCGTTGGAAAAACCTAACTTTTTTTTAACTACTGCTCCAAATTAACCCCTTTTTCAGTCCAAATTTTGTTTGCTATTGGTTACATGTTCATGAAGGGGCGCAGGCCAGCTAGACAGGTTCCCTTACCTTACAATTGTCCGGCATCTATAAATTGATCCATTTTATCTTCAGTGGAGTCGGGGAACCATACTACTTGAACAGTTTTGTTTTTCTTGGTGTTTCTAACATTTTCGAACACAAAACTTCAAACAAGTCAGTGTTACAATATTTGATCTATTATACTATCCCCTCAAATATTTCATTTCTAAAAATTACAGCAAAAGCCAATGATGTACATTCCCTTTAATTATCTCAATAACTACTTTCAAAAGTTCATTACATTTTGTTTCATTTCATTTGGTACTGTTGATACTTTATCATTGAAAAACATGTTGACATGGCTTACTTTTGTTTCATGGGGAAAATCATTATCTGTTTATTTTTGTATAAGTAGAACTTACAGTGTAGGGCCTACATCTGAATCATGAAATGGCACACTAACATTGCCATTTGCATGGAATATTTCATTGTGTTTTTTATACAGAAATTCCAATCAGATGACAAGAAGTCCTTGATTAATAAACAAACTAAGAATGTGGCCTCTGCCAATGCTGCACCAGATGAGAATGAATATGGTACATGTAGCAGTAGTGATGAAGGCAGTGATCACCATCCTGGACCCATAGCTACTCATCAGGAAATAGATGAAAAGAGCTCAGGCCTTGATCTCCATCCTAAAGAGATTGTTAAGACGCGTGCCTTCTGGACCTTATGGGCAACATTCCTTCTGAATGGACAGACCATTGTTTTCATTTCAACCCTGTATAAGGTGGGTATGTAGCAAAGCTTTGGATATCTTAGACTTGTCGAGATTGCCTTGTGTCTGACCAAAGTGATGAGTTACCCTGTGTCTTCATTTGTTTTGCAATGTTTATAAATGTATCAATATTATTTGTTCATCAAACCAGAAAGTGTTTGATCAGAAGAGGTTATGAATATGGGTTCTCTGAAGGAGGAATTTGCGAATATTGTGCCATGTACAGGGCGAGTCCAGAAAAGCGGAACCCAAACCCCCCAAAAAATATTTCATATTTTGAAAAATATGTAGCACCAAATATAATTATGACTGGTGAAACAATTTAATAAACTACTTTTAATTTAAATGAAAAACAATTACCCTAAATGTTTCGTCCAAAATGCGATTTCAAGAATTGTCGTCACAATTGTCTGCAAACATCACAAGCGATAAAATTCCTTTTGAAGGCCTGTATTTTTTTTAAAGTGAATTTTAACACCAAGAAATCTGATGTAGACGTAAAGATGTTATGGATTTGTGGTCATTCAGATCCACTATCCGGCATTCTCTAACCTTGCATTGTGGACCTGTGAACAAAAGAGGTCCACAGGGTGCAGGAAGTGTGAACGTTTTGTGGACTTGCCCACATCCACACAAGGTTTCCCCCTCTCACAGTGCAAGTAAAACAATTTTTGAGTGGTCGGGCACAACCCGACCACTCTTTGAAATCGTTCGTATTAATCTTTCTTTTTCTTTTTCCGGACAATACTTCTCGGCGGGTTTTCTCGCAGGTCTTTCTGCAGTTAACAAATACTGCAGTTGTCTAAAGCAGAGACTGATGGGGTATACATTTAAAACATCATAATTTTGAAGCCTAATTTCATATTTGGATGTCTTGCACACAGGCCTATGGACTGAGCTTTATCTCTGATGACAGGCTTCTTGCTTATGTGGGTTCAGTCAGTGCTATCTTCAATGCATCAGGAAGGCTGTTTTGGGGACATATTGCCGATGTGTACTCATATAAGGTAAACCCCTTGTAAAAAAAAAAATGTAACGTTTAGGGGAAAAGTCCTTATGATCATTAAAATAGGATTTATTTTAAAATTGATTCATGCGCATGCATTTTCAAGAAAATGGTTTAAATCGGGTTTAAACCTAAAAATTTATTTGCTAAAGGTTAAGTTTGTTGCTTTAAGATCAAGGTCACAAACTATTGAACCCTCTTCCATCAAGGAGTGTTGTATTCTCAGTGGTTTCTGGACTAATTGGGGAATAGTAATGTAAATTTACCATAACTGTACAGTAGAGATTAGAGGTTAGCCCGAGTATCATCTGGTAATCACACAAATATGTATTGCCTGTGTCTATCGAATGTCTGTCTATTCCATGGACGTGAATTTGGCCACAATTAATTTGTGGGCGTCTCGGGGGGGGGGGGGGGGGGGGGGGGGGGTGACACTCCCCCTCCCTTAATTATAAATGCTGGCAAAATCGTGTTTCCTGTATAGGTAAAATCGTGTGTCAGTCGGCAAATGTCCCGGGTTGAAGAGTGCCACCCATTGTCCAATAGTGCTTCATTATCGTCCACGTTGAACAGCTCACCCCAACACAACACCCCCCCCCCCTCCACTTTATGGAGGCCAGGTGAACGGAGAAAAAATCCTGTCTGTCTTTTAGCTTTGATGCTCTGTCGGCAATTTTGTTGTCACACTCCTCATTCAAAGTGGTTTAGTGATGCTCCTGAATGTATTTGTCTCATTTATTGTGATTGATAAAGTGAATATACCTGCAGCGTTGTTGCTAAGTGGTGAAGTACGTTGAATCTTGCGCTGAGATCCAGGAAAGTATCACAGCTCAGACCTATATACAGACCCAGTCATGGCTAGCTGTTAATTGGGTTTGTCCGGACGTGCATAGAGTAGAGAACATTTTGATTTCTCCGCAATCGACCATTTTAAACTGAAAGTATCAATAAAAAAGGCCGTGGTAATGTAAGTGATATACCATTTTGTTATCGAGTACCGCTATTTGAGTACGAGTACTTTGTTTTATCGAGTACCGTTATTCGAGTACGAGTTTTTTGATGATCAAGTACAATTTTACGAGTACTTCACTGCTCGAGTACGAATTCCGTCATATCGAGTACTAGTACTTTGACATTCAAGTACGAGTACGAGTACGAGTACGAGTACTTCAAAAAAAGTACTCAAGTAGTACTCAAGTACGAGTACCGAGTACGAGTACTACAACACTGGAGTTTTCTCTGTCCAATACTGAAAAAAAATTGAAAACAGCACATTGGGTTGCTGAGAAAATGTAAATTGTGTAACACAACTCCTTTTTGGTCCACTCCAAGTCCAAAGGCATTACCACAGTTGAGGGATTTACGCTGTACCTATTTGTGCATGAAATGCATGTAGCGCATTGTTTCAATTCAATTCAATTCAATTCAATTTGACTTAATTATCCCTGACGGGAATTTCTATTGGCCTTTTACATTTAAACGCGTTAATGAAAAATTACAAGTTTTTAAAATTCAATACAGATAAAATACTGAATATAACCTAAAACAAAAGGCCTGTTTAAAATTCCATGTGATTACAAATTAAAATCCTGTGTTATAAACTATTCGAACAGATGTCTGTGTAATTATAGGGACCCTTCATATTCACTATTTCAATCCCATCAATTGTGTTAAAAGATAAAAAATACTGCACAAAACCTAAATTCAATACAGATAAAATACTGAATATAACCTAAAACAAAAGGCCTGTTTAAAATTCCATGTGATTACAAATTAAAATCCTGTGTTATAAACTATTCGAACAGATGTCCGTGTAATTATAGGGACCCTTCATATTCACTATTTCAATCCCATCAATTGTGTTAAAAGATAAAAAATACTGCACAAAACCTAAATTCAATACAGATAAAATACTGAATATAACCTAAAACAAAAGGCCTGTTTAAAATTCCATGTGATTACAAATTAAAATCCTGTGTTATAAACTATTCGAACAGATGTCCGTGTAATTATAGGGACCCTTCATATTCACTATTTCAATCCCATCAATTGTGTTAAAAGATAAAAAATACTACACAAAACCTAAAAAAGCCCCCTTGAAATTCCACTTGGGTACAATTTCAATCCTGTGTTGGTCTCGGTAAGTATTGTATCAAAATAATAATCATCGTTCCAACTGCATGTTCAAAATCTGAACAGCTGAAGGGACAAATCCTTACAAACAACATGGCACATAATATGACAGTGTACAAATTAATATGATGGAAATACCTTTAATTTTCCACATGAACAGCTGTCTTTTCCTTTTTAGTCCTATTTCAAACCTTTTCAGCATCATAAATATGTAAAAAATATTAAAGAAATTGCACAAATGAAAGACAATTGCACAGTGGGCTTACAGTAACATGTTTCACTGTTTGAAGCACCATTGGGAAGGATGAAAAATAACTTCTTTTACAAAATTGGCATTTTCTCAACAACCCAATGTGCTGCTTTCATGATTTTTTTCAGTATTTGAAAGAAAAAAACTCTCGGCTTCAATCTGATATCCAAAACAAAAAAATTAACTCATCCGTTTTTGGAAAAAGGCAAATGTTTCAGGGGTGCAGTTTTTTGGGTTACCGTCGTTTATCCATGGATTTTAAGGAGAGAAAATCGCTCTCCTTAAAATCTCCTCAAAGATTTTAGGATAGCGATTTATAGCTCTCCTGGATTTTCTTTAAATGAAGGACTGCTGTGCCCGCTGCAAGAGAATTAGACTAATTTTCCAGGGAACTAGCCAAGTGCACACACACGAAACGGGCGACTCGTACATCATGAACATGTAGCATTTTGTTGTATTCCTGTCACAGTGCAAAATGTTGTTTTTTCTTATTTATGACAGGTCTTGTAAAAAATAGTTCAGGTCCAGTAAGATTCTTCAGTTACTAGACCTGCTGTCTAGTGCTTTATTTCATGAAATTCGAGCCCTGAATATGAGTGTAAACTTATAAACACAGCATGGCTATACACGTAGTATAATTAGCATATTGGTATAAGTGCAGATGATATAAATTCTATGTGTATAATGTTTACTTTTATATAGGTTGCAATGACATCACTGTGCTGTTGTATGTCGGCACTCATGCTCAGCTTTATAGCAACACCTGCCGGGGGAGAAGCAATGTTCTTTGTCTGGATATGTTTCATATTCTTCACTTTCTCCGGCAGTTTCTCGCTTTTTCCCACAGCAACTGCCAGGTATAGTGTTTTATTATACAAATAACGTTTATGAGTGCAACGGTAACAATAATTTTATGAGGTGACGGATGGAGTGTACATTCCACCGGTCACAGAATGAAAATATTCTTTCCATTGCATGAATGTGAAACATTCATTATTTGTTTTATACAACACTGAATAAATCCTCGTCATCTGATTGGACACAGCCACCACCAAAACAGAATAGAACTTCTATTTTTGCTGTGCGGCCGGGCCATGCATAGGGAGGACACGTGATCAACGACCCACCAATCAGATTACGGGGATTTATTCAGGCGTTGTACAGCCTTAAGGAGATACAAGATTACATTTGCACAAGCTGTAACAATATTGCAAGCGTCGAAGACAAGTGCGATATTGTTAAAGCAAGTGTAGTATATTCTTTTTTTCACAAGATGGAATTTTTGTCTGGGTGATGTATTTTCAATATTGGGTATATATACTCGGTGTTGTCCCACGACCCTGTCCTCATGTTTCCAAGGCATCTCCTCTAGTAAGCAGGGGGTTGTGTTTTCAACTCCAATCAGAACGGTTTGTAAATTGTTCTCAAAATCACTGGGGACAACGCTGAGTATAAAGTGTCAGGCCTCACAGCCAAGCCTTTTAACCTATCAAACCTATAAAGACCTACACATGTACATTTCAACTTGGGAGCAACTTATATAACCAATAAAAACCTATATTTTTTATTGTTTTCATCAAACCGGAAGTTAGGTGGTGTTAATACATACACTTAAACATTATTATAATTTCCATATATTTAGAAGTTCTTTTCACCTCATGATGAACATGTATCCTCTCTGAATCAAACAGTATTCAGTTTGCACATTTTAAGTGCTGACGTCGTCAAACCGGAATAACATGTAACGTGTACATAAAATGTACTGAAATTTTTCATACCCTAAAAGATGCATTTTTAAACAAAAATTAAAACAGATGATTTTACTGGAAAGGCTGAATTTGTATGATCCTTTATCTATTCTGACACAAAAATGTTCACAACTGGGCATTGACCTGTGAAATAGTTTTGAGCCCGATCACCCGGCGTTTGTAACTCGATAAATGCAAATCTAGTTTTAATTGTTGAAATTGGTATAAAAAAAAATTGAGTTGTGAATAAGGGCCATATGTTAACATGTTTCCCTTCCGAACATTGGAAATAACATGTTTCCCTTCCGAACATTAGAAATGATCATAAATGATACTAATTTTGAATGGTATGATCTAAGTCAAAGATAAAGAATGGAATGCTAATGTACCAATGTTCAAAAAAAAAGGTTTTGACTATAACATTGCACAATCTTCTGTATGATTTGTTTTTAGATCATTTGGCACAAGCTACGTTGGCTTGAACTATGGTCTGCTATTTACATCTCAAGCTCTTACTGGCCCAGTGGGTGTACTGCTGTCCACTACACTGAGTGACACTGTTGGCTGGTTTGGCATGTTTGCCATGATGGCTGGTTTCTCTTTCATTGGTGAGTAAACACTTCACATGGACACATGTTTTATAACCTTTTCTTAGCTGAATGCACAGAAACTTAATCAATTTCCGAAAGAAATCATGTAAACTTTGGATTTTGCTTATCCCATATTCTGCCATGAATATTTGTTGACCTGGGCAGTGAACACAAACCTTTTTGCGGAACTCGGTACTTAATTACTAATCACCAGCTTTGTCGGTGTCTTGACTATTTGCGTATGTTGTGAACAAAATTAGGAAGAGTAGGCATTTCAAAACAATGTGTTTGTTCTTCTGTTTTGCAGGTGCAATTCTAACTGTGACGTTCAATGTGAAGAAACTGAATGGTAGTGCTCTATAAATCCAACTCTTCACTTGTGGACTTGATTCTCAGAATGAGCCACAACAGGTTCAGCAACAGTATTGCATGTTTATGGTGGTGATCGGGCTCAAACCCATCACCCTTTTGAAATGGTCGATGTGTTTCTTTCTCCCTTTGTTTCTTTCTCTCCTTATTTCTTTTTTTTCTGGATAATAATTGTCTGGGACTTTTTTTCTAATCTGTTCATGATATAAACTCAGTGGAACTTTCAACATGTATAGGTTTTCCCGGCCAAGTTAGCAGATTTGGCGGCCAAATTGGTGACCAATCACTCATTTTCGCACGAATTTGAATGCACGTGGAGATCAACATTCAATGAGCTAAAAACACCAATCAATTTAACATTTGAAGCATGCGATTTCACATTTTAATCATGCAATTTTAACAACACGGCATTCAAATTAAAATTGCACAAACGAGCATCCAAATTCGCCGGAGCTTCCAGCTGTGTAAGTTTGGTCATTCAAATTCACCATTAAGCAGGCATTTGTGAAAAGTAAGCAAATGAATCCGAAATAGGTTTATGTCATTCCGTTGTTTGTTAGAATTAAATGGAGTGCCTTTGTTCCAATTTGGAAGTATGGATATAAAAACCTGTCGCCAACAAGATTCTGCCAATACTCTGATCACCGTGCACACTGTTAGCTTGAAGCACTAGAAATATCAACATGGCAGCTCATGGGCGTTACATGAGAATTTCAAATCTAGATGCTTGGCACGGCAAGAGATCGGTGGCTAACAGACCTGCAGGAGACAGTATCCTCATCCTAAGTTTACTGTTGCCTATAGGTTTGTTGTTTCATATATTTATATATGTTTAGTTAGGCCAAAAAAAAAAATATATTCGGTCTCTGGTCAGACCAAAGTTCCGGAATCGACGCGGCCACGCGGCTTTTTTTTTTTTTTTTTTTGGCTTTTTTTTTTTTTCTTCAAGCTTGGATTGTACAGACAAGGTGGGGTACTATTTTGCTTTTTTGGTGTCCTCATGTACATTGGTGCCATAATTTGCCTTGTGCTTTCGATCATTTGCCTTGGTGCAATTTCCCATTCCTTGGTGCTCTTTTGTACAAAAAAAATTGAGGAGGTTCGGAAATAGCGGGCGCTGTTGGCGCTACCGCGGAACATTTTGGGGGAAAAAAAGATCGACGCGCATGCTTAAAATCGACGCGCGCGCTGACCAGAGACCGACTTATTTTTTTTTTTGGCCTTATGCCCCCTTTTTGTTTCATTTGTTTGCATTTTTACTTCTTTAGAATAAAGAGACAGATAGTAGACACTTTGAAAAAAAATGAAACGGAAAAGCAGAAATGATAAAAAGGTGCAAGAAATATAAAGAGTCGCGTCGTATGCCTTCGATTTATTTTAATTTTTTTGAATGCAAAAAGTGCGAAATAGAATGCACGGACATGAAAAAGAAATCAAGAACCTCATGCAAATAACCCTCGACCAAACCGACTGCTAAATTGAATGATCACTTAAACCGAATGACATAGCTTCAATTTAGGATCAGTTAAACATGAAAATGTCAGGTCTTTAAACGAATTTGAATGCCTGAAATCTAATACGAACCACGGGAATGACAGTAGGGCGCTACTCTGCTTCAAATTGGCCACTATCAAGATGAATTCGAATGTTATTTTTGCGAAATTGGCCGGGAAAACTATATTAACCCTGATCCCAAGGTATGCATATTACTCTGACGTCACGATGATGTCATCAGGTATCAAATTACAAGTGATTTTTGTTCAAAATATGACCATTTTCTGTCATGTATAACTACTGAACTCATGAACAAAATGAACGTTCATACACTGTATTGTCAAAGGGAAGAGACTAATGTGCGTGGCTGCTAGATACTCCGTCCGGGTGTGTTGTCAAGTCTGTATTTCTATTACAAACAAAATATGTATTATATTCTTTCTTTCCCTTTTCCTTTTTTTCTGGATAATAATTGTCTGGGACCTTTCTTCTAATCTGTTAATGTTATAAACTCGTGGAACTTTCTACATATATTAACCCTAATCCCGAGGTATATAGTAATTTATTACTTCAACAAAACACATTTAGGCGTACGTGCGTAAATATACGTGAAGCTGTTGAGCCAAACCAGCTTGCAAAATGGTCTTTTTTACATGATGGCTAATGAAGTTTTTTTTTAATCTATAGGTCCCTCATATGCCATTTTTTCCTTAACGTGTATCTTTTGCTTGATTAGTTTTGTTCTTAGGTTGTTATGCTAATTTTCTTGTATTCATATTATTTTATTATTATTCATATTATTGTAACAATATGTAATTTTAAAGGTTTTTTTCATATTTTTAATTAATTTTTATTTTTTAATGATTGTTATAAGCACCTTCAACGTCGCTTTGAAGGATTTGGTGATATATAAGATTATTATTATTATTATTCTATACAATAGCCCAACGAATGCTGCATCTGTTAAAAGTACATTATAAGCAAGTAATAACCAACCAACATCTTATGTCGACATTTTGATAGTTTTGATTTTTTTTAACCAGTTTTTTTCTAATTTAAAGAATCAGGCACAAATGTATCTGTGTCTGCTGTATGCCAACGGGGTAGTTATGAGCATCCTTATCTGAATGTTTAGCCTTCGTCTTTTTTTTGCCTGAAATTATGAGGTACATTTCGTTTTAATAAATGGTACTAGGGAATTTTTTTTTTGGGGGGGGATTGGAGGGATAGAGAGAGTGGTTATGTAATTAATAAATAATCAATATTGCTATTGGAATTTTGAGTGGAGGATTAAGCTTGAGTGAGCTGATCTTAACATCCATTTTAATTCAGTTTTCATCCGTTGAATTAAGCCGCTGTCTGAAATATAGACTCCGATTGAGAGAAATATATATATAAACGTATATACACTGTAATGTTTGTATTTTGAATCTCAGATATCATGCCCTGTAAATGACCTGATTAAAGCAAGATTCAGAGACCGTCTTGTCTCCTTTATGAAGCTAGTTTCCTGTATTTGTCGTACATGAATGTATTCACTTCATTATTTGTTTCATTTTTAATTTAATATTTTCTGTGTAATGGTAGCTGTGGTTATTTGAATTATACAACGCCTGAATAAATCCCCGTCATCTGATTGGTGGTTCGTTGATCACATGTCAATGAATTATTCGGCCCAACTTACGGCTCACTACACCGGAAAATAGAAGTTCTGTTGCACGGTCACACTAATGGTGGTTCTGACCAATCGGACAGGATTACAAATTGACGTGATGGTCTGGTAACAATACATGCAGGGAATAAAAAAGGAATTGATCGGCCCGCACGGATCAAACTGGATCAGGGATCCGCCGCTGATTTGGGGAATTGTTTGTCATTAGTCATGAAAATATTGAACTCACAAGAAACGTACTCCTCTCTGACTGACAAGTAGTAGGTTTAAAACGATTCCCCAAATCAGCGGCGGATCCAGTTTGATCCGTGCGGGCAGATCAATTTTTTTTTTATTTCCTGCATGTATTGCCACCAGACCACCATTTTAGTGTAGTGTCTCATCCATGATCACTAGCCTCGGATGGAAATCATTGGAGGAACGAGGAACGCACAACCATATCTAGAACTACCTTGCTGTACAAATCCATTCATCATAAAATCGCAATTGATGTTGATCAGTACCAAGTTGACTCCAAACAGGACAAAATATCAACTAGACAATCATCTTCATTATCCTTTGTTCACCCTACATCTGAAAAGGACTGCATGCTGCAGATACTCTTTCCTACCAAGAACAACAGCTCAGTGGAACTTACTTCCTAGAGAAGTCAGGGAAGCTACTTCAGTGGAGTCCTTTAAGTCAAGGCTCGATGAGATGCAGTTGTCTTCAACAGTCCACACTAAGAGGGCCCACTAACTATGTATAGGGATTCTGCTAACCACCACACGCCTGCAACTTTATATCCCATAGTGGAGTTTGCTTGCAGTACGCTACAGATACAGAGACTCAGTCGCCGAGTATAAATTAAATAACTTCACTTTCTGGTCCAGTTGTGACTAGGCACGCTTAGTTTTGTCTATTATTTCATCCTGTGACTAAATTTTAATATTCAGTGAAATTGTCATTTCGTTATTGGGTGTTTATACATGTATCACTTCCCGTGCTTAGCCTGGATACGCGGGGACTTCGTTCTAGCAAACTTTAAAGGGGCACTAGGTCCTAAAATCTCCGAAAAATTCATGTTTTGGATTGTTTACTTATCCTATTTCAAACATCTGTTTGAAAGGAAACCGACCTAATGTTGGGGGTTTTAAAAGAAAATCTTATAAATAGCTGTAAAGAGTGTATACAAAGATAATTGACCTTTCGACGGTCACCAGAGGTCAGATATGAAATTGTCCCTAATCTGAAAATGTTCTTCACGGCATGAAGATCCATGACATAGACTTGGGTCTTGGGGAAGAGGCCTTTTCAAGAACAAAAACTATAAATAGAGTATTATTGGTCATTGACCCGTCAGAGGTTACCAGAAAAAAATTATAGCATGTAAAAGTATAACATTAAAGTTGCTCTCTTTGGGTTTTTTTCAGAGTTTCACACGTAACGCCCCCCCCCCCCAATATTTTTCCTGGAACTAAGGGGCAAGCCTACCTTCTTCTGAGCGAATTGAGTCCTAAACTGCCTAAAAACTGAACAATATTATTAATCACTTTCAACTCGGTCCCAGAGACCAGGCATGCAACTTTTCCTCGGATCAGCTGATTTCCTCTTTTTTTTACTTCCCATGTGTGCCATTGAAAATAGAAAAACACTGTACAAAGTCTGGGAAAAATTCGAATTTCCTCTTTTTTTGTGATTTCCCAGTTGCATGCCTGAGAGACACTTTCGAGTTGAAAGTCATTTACTGAGGCGTTTCAGTCGGAAGTCGTTATTTTGTGTCCAAACTATCGCTAAAAATAACGGTCGTTGCATTTCAGTTTATACTATCAGACAACAAAAGAGCACTCTTCCTTGGAAGTGGGCATATAATATTGTACACGTACAAACAATTTCTGTCACCATAGACCTAATGTACATATTTAAGCACATCATGATGAAATTACCAGTTACTCACGACAATAAAAATGAAGCTTTCGCCTGGTATCCACCGAGGCCTCCTCAGCAATGGACGACTGTTTTAAGAGACGCAACAGACATCGAGGATCCACGTCAAGTGACCTTAGTTATGATGCTGTTTTCGACTAGTGGGAGTTTGAGTCGACCCATACATCGATGATCTACGTCAAATGACCCGAGTTATGATGGTGTTGTCGACTGGCGGGAGTTTGAGTCGACCCATACATCGATGATCTACGTCAAATGACCTGAGTTATGATGGTGTTGTCGACTGGTGGGGGTTTGTGTCGACCCTTGTGTCTGAGGGCGATCTTGACCTGACGTGGATCACCTCATCTCGCCCAAACCATCTTCCTTCTTGTCCAGGACTTCGGTCTCACTTATGTGAGTTGATGTTTCCTCCCACTCGGATGATGGCCTACTCCCTCTTGTGCTCTGTGAGTGTTTTTTTTTAGTTTTCTCTCGGTCCCTCCGATGTAACTAGCCCCACACTAATTCATAAACAACCCCGCATACTACACAATCTTACATACAAATGAAGCAACTTTTCAAACTTAGCCCTACTTGCAGCATGGAGGTAGCGGGGTCAACAAACGACATAATAAGGCCATCGAGGAAGAGGCTTTTGGTTGTATTAGAATTACGAGTGGATTTTGTGTTGTATTACGTATAAGCATTCATTGAAGATTATTCTTAGAATGACCTCAAGCCTTCTCGTGTGGAACGAATTGTTTCTTAGCCGTTCTTGCTTGAAAAAGTATATGTATATGAGTTTCTCCCTCGCAAGGCCGTGAGGCAAATACAAATGTATCTATTTTTTGGCCTGGCGAGGCGAAAAACTCCGTGTGCGGTCAACCTGAGCTACGTGCTGAGCTAAAACAATTAACTATCCAATGAAATCACACTCTGGTCACATGGTTTCAAGATTTTAGAGGACAAGCTGGTTGAATTGTGGCCAGATTAGCCTTGTTTGTCGGTCGCATAATTTTCAAAATGGGGACAAACGCAAGCACTGTAGAAGAAGTGACAACAATATCATGAAATCACGTGAACAGAGTATATGTGCCATTGGCTAGTTAATCCTTGTTATCGGTCGCATGACCGGTTCATTTCTGGCAACCAGGCCCCCACCCGGTTTAAACCAGACGTTTCAAACTGCTCTCCCTTGCTATTATTTCATTTAATTATATACTTGGCATGTTTGGAGAGAGATAAAGGAAAACGATAGTGAGAAATCAAAAGTTGGTTCACTGCAGATTTGTTTCTTGGCTCCAACCCAACCACGTTACCGGCATATTTACAGATTATCAGACAAGTGTTGTACCGCAGCTTGTCAACATAGCTGAGCTGAAATGTCATCCACATTTTCAAAAGTAAGTGCTTCTCACAAATATAGTGCCCGGCCCCTATAACTAGTTTCCATTGTGACATCTTCTCGGTTGCTTTTGGTACACACATCATGTTGTAGGGCTCACATGGAGGCATGTCCCCAGCTTTGTAGTTGAATGACATTCTTCGAATCGTTTTCTCCATACTCAACTATAAAAAGGTATACATGTTCATGTATAAGAGCCTAGTAAGGAGTGGCCAATATTACTCCTGCTTGCATCTACATGCATGCACCACCTTATTTTGAGTCAGTCTACATCATGAGCACGTACTACCGCAAGGGACGCCAGCGCCCGACGTATGTTTCCTAAAGGTATGCAGCCCCTTCAATTTACGTTTTTGATGACATATGAAATCGGTTCTTTTCTTATGTACAATTTGCCTGTAGGAAACTACGTATATAACATGGTTCAACAATTTCGTGTTGTGATGTGTGAGGTGATTTGACGGTCACAGCTTCATCTTCAAAAATTGATTTGTTGAACAAATTGCATGGACATACTGCATGCTGGACATGCAAGGTAGTATAACAAAAATAGGCTCTTTTAAACTAATATAAAAAATATGCACGTAGCAGGCCCAGGCCTTGTTTCTGTTTTTGTGGGATTTATCTCCCGGATGAACTTTCTTTTGTCATGTGGTAAAGGCACTTCTTTTAGCAAAAATTATTACAAAATTTATTCTAAATTTTACTTCCCATTCCCAATTTGCCCTGGTTATAAAAGCAGCTCACCCTAGCTGTTTACGCTTTCTGTCATATGCCCATAATTATACAACACCTAGCGTTTTTCAACCTCTTCAATTCAAATCGATTTCTTTAAAACGAAGTGTCTTTTAGGATTTCATCACATTGCTCTTGGTCATCAACTGATCCCATTTGATGCCACGTAACCTACGTAGCATCCTTGAATAGGATAAACCTGGGATCGTTCAAAGATACTTCGAAGTTAGTTTGCATGTTTCTCAGCGTTACTGCAGAATGCCCCTTGCCCTGAACAGATGTGTGTACCAAGTTCCGTTGCTTCATTATCATTCTCGGTGGATTATATATCTTCTTTTTCCCCTGGTATTATAAGATCAGTATCAGTCCCAGTTCTGCTCCAATGACCAGCTTCGACTGTGAACTTATTTTGAGAAGGTCCACAAGTACATATAGACCTAGTTTTTGTTACATTTGGCTCATGTTGAATCCAAACTGTTCTCATTGTGAGACAAGAGCTCCTGTTCCGTTTAAGATACATGTGTTTTGTTGAACATAAAGTTGATTTCTGTACCATCTTTAAAAACTGACAATGCTGCTATTAGCTTCCACTGAGTGTAATGATAATACACAATCTTTCCGCCACTGATTGCCTCGCTATAGCGTATGTTCAAATCGGAACAGGGTTTTTGTTATGACTAATATCTTATCCTGGAAACCCGGTGTAGCATGAATTTAGGTTTTATGAAATACGGACTCATTTGTGGTATTGCGCATGTTCATGCTTAGATAATTAGGAGAGGGACCGGTCACGTGAGAGGGTTTAACCAATAAAAGGGGAAAAGAGTCTGATTTTCATACGAGTCCGATTTTCACATGACACCGGCCCAGCCTTGATGTTTAATGGTCCTGTCTCTCTGTCCCATGTTAAAACCTTTGCTCGGGTCTTTGCACATATTTTCTGATGGACTAAACTAAACTGTCTGGTTTTTCCATCTGTATATACACATGGTTCCATGATTGAATCAGACTTTTAAGCCTATGACCGTGGTTACTTCTGATATTTATTCTCTCTCAAATTCTTGAAAAGCCCTCACCGAAGCTGTATATGAGCCAACACCGACTCCTCTTTCCTCTGAAGCCATTCTGAATTGTTTGCAGAATAAATCAACTATCCCACAACTAGCCAAAGTCTTAAAATAGTTAATCTGTCTCCCTTTTCCTACTTCAATATATCTTTATATCCCACGCCGCTCTGTGCAATGTCTTCTTGTATCTGGCTTCAATTATCCTGTCTTAATTGCAATGTTATTGTCTTTTTTGTTTATTTCATCCAGCAATTTTTGCAATTTTTGTGTATTAATTAAGTTGTCTCATGTGTTGTTTTTTTCTCAGGATTTGCTTGTAAATTTGTATCATTGTTAAATGGCTCTTTCAGCTGCAGTTGTTGGTCATGTTGATTGTTGTGTAAATATACCAATGACAAAAATATCAATAAAAATTATCAGGACATATTCTTCTTAAAAATCGTTATTTATTTTTTCACACGATGGAGCTGAAACTTGCACCTAAATTGCCTTTTACACCAATGTTAGATTAATTGCCCATTGATAGAACTATGTCATTTAAATCGTTTATCTTGAGCACTTGAGGATTAACAGCGGCCAAACTGTAACCCTCACTTTCCTTGAGTACTGAAATTGACAATTTTTTTATATACATGTTTTTTCCTCTTTATTTATATACTGCAACACCCAACTCTTTTATCAAAAATGTACGTGTTTCCGATTTAAGAAATTTAGTTTAAATACTCCATGTGCAAATTGTATCCGTTTGAGAGTGGTTTAAGATGACATGGAAGAGACAAATTTCCATTTTGTAGAATCCAATTTCAGCTTAATTATTATAAACTTTCATGATTTTGTTTGTTTTACCTATTGCAAAATTGACAACCTGCTTCAGACAGTATTATTGTTGATAGTAACTTCCTGGCCCACACACTTGTTCACCTGATAAACTTCCTCGCTGTCATACATGTAGCCCAAGTCATGGTGTAATTTCTCCGTTAGCTCTGCTACATAAATGCTGTCCTCATGTCGGACAAGGGAGCACTCCTTTTCGCCTTGGAGGAAAAAGTGGAAAAAATTGTCATGTTTTTTTTAAATAAACGATCAAATCCCTTTTTCAGGTTTCCCCCCCCGTTTTTACCTTGAAATGGATCCGTTCTCCTTTTGTTTGATCAAACACAGACAGTCGAATATTTCTTTCACTTCATCTGCCACGTAGTTGTATACAGACTAGTAATCGCATTCGTTTACAAAACACTGAGTTTTCAAATACCGTCAACAGACAAAAGATGGGTATAGCTGGCATATCAATCACCTCCAGTCAAAGCATGGCTGTATCAAATTAACATGGGAATTTTTAGCCTTTGGCAACAGTCTCTTGATTGATTTTGATTGCTGTGGTGGCGTACGGTAGCTGAACTTAAGAGGGAGGGTTGCATATGTCGTTGGAGTCACCACGATTCGATATTGACTGAAATTACTTACATTTTTGTCATGCTATCCTCTAAAATCTATAAAAAAAAAGTTTTGAAATTTTGTTGACAGACCATATGCTGGATTTTTGTCATCATGATCATCATTTTGTGCTGAAAACAACGCGATGTGAGCAAACAACTCTTTATACTTTTACGTGTGCGCATTAGCAAAAATCCCTTTCTCACCCGTAAAAATATACTAACCGTAGGTTCTGCTACAGTTTGCGGAGATTACGGTAGGCATACCCGTGAAATTAGGCCCAGGTCAGGAACAAAGTGTATAGATTCGCTACAAAGTTCTCAATCTTGCTCTTGCATATATTGGCACTTATTGGGTACCGGAACAAAGGGCAACAATAGGGATATTGGTACCCCGCAAGTCTGTCTTTAGCAATTGAAGTACCCCGATTTCTACGGGGACAAAGGAGAACAAAAGAAGGGGATTAGGGTCGAACAATAGCGGTACCCCTAAATATGCTAATAAGTGTGTGTGTCCGTTAAATTGTACCTCGCATGATGCACTGTCGCACAGCCTCGCCTTCGTACCTCATACCCACGGCATTGGGGTAATTCTGAGGAAGCTCGCTGGACGGAAGAGAAAATTCAAGTATCTCTGTCTTCTCCTTTGGATCATAAGGGGTTCCCTTTCCCGATTGCGTGGTTACTTCCAGTCTTGTTGGTGACCAAAAGGGAGCTGGTATCTGTGAATTTGGTTTAATGGTGATGCACTACAGTGAGGCACTTCATGTCGTTTTTTCCCCATTTGATCTCAAATGTTTATGGCTAAATGATACTTCAGAAGAACTGTTTACGATTGGTGATCTTTCGGAATATAAGAAAGAAAAAAGGAAGTGTTTAGAAATGGGTCATTCTTTTCTGTTACGTCTGAAATCTATGTTTTATAATTCTGATGCCTTCCTTAATGAAGTCGTCCTCCAATAGCAAACTACCACCAATAAGTATAAATTGTTAAAAGTCATTCTTAATGGCAAATTACAAGGTGCTGGCAATAGGAAAGAGGACAATGTCACACTGTCTTTGGACTCTGAATTAATAACGTTCAAGTGATTTATTTATTTCGTTTTTTATTTTAATTTTTTAATTCATTTTTTTAGGGAAGGGTAACTTTCCTTCTGAATAAATTCCTTCCCGGACATTTTACCAAACGCCCTACATTGTCACATAATTATGTCCTTGTTTAGAAAGTAAAGCCTCCTTTTTTTGCAAACATGTTATAGAACGAGCCAATACCTTAATATGACCTTTGGTACCTTGAATGTTGACCTCATTGGGTAACGCCACGGTCATACTGAGCGACAGTGAAGCAGCTGCTTTATTCGGAAACAGCATTGTTATCACGCATGTTTCATCGACTCCTACAGAATGGAGATAGAAATGGTATTTTAGACTCGTGGAGATAATGTAACTTTCATAGGAAATTTATACCACGTACAGTTCCACTTCATTAGGTGCATGCGGATGATACAGTTTGCCTGTTACGTGTGTCAGTAATCCGTTCTCCCCACTTCAGAATTATTCAGTATCTGGTTTTGGGGTCTAAAGCATTTCTTAATCTCCGTCTGCATAAAGTTTATACTCTCGATCATTTTTAAGCAATGAAAAAAACCTAAATTTAACAAAGACAAGACATACCATTAAAGCACAATGACACCTTTCCTCGACGAAACCAATACATGACTTAAAAAAAAATCATAAAAGAAACGACAAAGAAAACCACTAAAAGTGCATTCGTTTTAGGTCTATCCTTTTACCTGTATCCGCAAGAAACCCCTTTCCACTGCATGACACTGGCCGCTGACCGAACACCATGAGTGCCAAATTTAAAAGGTACGGCCCGTTATCCAGAAGGATGCCCCCACCGAACTCTGTTAACGAAGAATAGACCGCACTGTTTTTCCATTGTAAAACAAAAATCTGTGTTTTTGTGCATGCAATTAATTTTTTTTTTAATGTAAAGAAAACATCCATTTACGTTTGTTCCTGTAGTAAATCAATGTTAATATGGCTACTCTCCAAGAATCCGGGATTCTACATTCGAACTTATAGGCTCCCAGAATGAAGTCCTGTGGGTTTTTGTGAAGACTTAGGTGCTGAAATTACTGAGGTGAAACTCCTCCTTAGTCTTAACGTATGGATGAACCGGTATCTCCAAAAGTTGTGATATTATGAAAGAGACCAATTCCCCATCTTACGACTCATCTACTGTAGTTCTGAGATGTTGAGGCGCTAGATAGTATCAGCAAGGACTGCCTAGACATTCGTCTCTTTATCATGAGCTTGATGACACCAACTTAGTATATTTACTTTTTTCGAAAAGTCTTTCCTTGAAGTCCGCGGAGACGCCCATAGCACCCTGCAGGAACTTGACCTCCCCTATGACCCCATCCGAAATGAGGTGACGTAGTTTATCTGCAGCCGGGAAGAACCGTGACCACCAACCCTGTAATTCAAATGGTAGTTCCTTAACGAGATGAATTCATCAATCTCAGCTGAATGTTTGATTTAACAGTAATTGTTGTGGGATCTTCGTTAAAAGACGAGCCGGCCCCAAAATATACCTCTTACCTTCTTCTTTCTCTTATCTTCTTCTTTCTCTATTTTTTTGGGACTTCTTATGGGATTGTGATAAATTGGACTACATGTCCCTGAGGAACTTACAAACACACGAACAAGATTACTCACAAATGTTTCACATTGAAGTAAAGACCCCCAGGTTGATTGTGGAAACCTAATTGTTACTTATTTGTTTGATGGTTGTGAGGTATTACCCCGCTGCGTTAATTAACAGCGTAGTTTTTACCTCCATGAAGAAGACACCCTTCTCCCTCGACGTTTCGATGATTTCCGTGCATTGGTCTTTGTTTAACGCCAGTGGTTTTTCACAGAGAACGTGTTTTCCATGGTTCAAAAACAGCTTGCTCAACGGCAGGTGGTCTTGGTTGACAGCGGCAACGTACACGATGTCTTTTTGTATTTTTGAGGGAAGAAAATGAGAGAGAGACACAATTACTGCAGTTTTAGTCGGAGGTCCAACTTGGAACAGACTCGACGACACCGGCACGTGTGTTTGGTCTGTCATTGTTGAGTTGGCGTTCATATTGCAATCAATCAGTAGAGTGAAGAGCACATTGCATCAAACATGGCGACTGAAATTTACAACCACTGATAAACGCATCTGAATTATACATTCTACAGATGGGTGTTTCTAGCCATAAATGTGGAGATTGATTTAGTTTGTGCACTGAGAAATTTAGACCTACCGTTTTTAGCGAAACAGTAACGTAGGCCGTTCAGATCAAAACATTAATATCAGATAGACTACATGTGTCGTACTATACGTTCGTGTCGTTTAACTTACTTAGCGCCAGTTACTACTCGCAAGGCTTAATTGCGACCATTGTGGTCTGCAAAGTGTTCTCCCCTCCCGTAAACCTGCTGTAACTGCAACCACTTGGTTCTTGGCTTAACTTACCGACATTGGGATCCGTCGCTAAGTCCTCGTATATGTCGTAGACGACACCAATACCGTGTCGCTTGGCTAGTTGTTGGGCTTGGTGCACTACCCGGGCTTCGGCGATGGCCACCACCGTGTGCTCCTCGCGCGGTAGAGTACTGAGACCCACCAGAAAGTCATTGGCAATCATGCCTGCCGTACAGATGCCCCAACGTAACTTCATGACTCCCTTTAAGATGCTCGGGCTATCACTGCAAGATACACAAATCCTCAAGATCTTTTCGTTGTGTGGGCGTTGTTAATAAAGGGTAGTGGTGGGTGAAGAATTAACTGAAAGCACATTGCCTCTCTGTCTACTCTTGGGATGGCTCTGACAGAGTGACCAGATAATTACAACCGGCCGAAAGCCCAGCGTCCCGACGCGAAGTCCACGAAGCTTATTGGCTAAAAGTTTACAGCGTGTACTAATTTGCATGCCAGCGACCTTTCCAACTTTGCATTATTATCCCGTACATGGAAGTCACATGGCCGGGCCTGTAGTAAGTTAAAGTACTCCATACAAGCTACGGCAACAAGTTTGGTGTCCTACAAAATAATATAGGCTGCTCACTTGTTATGAATATTGTGCGGATGATCGACAGGGTTAGTCAGTCTGAGCACGAAGTTGCTACAGTTACGCGTTGGCAGGATGAGCATACGCTGAGTATAAGACCTTTTACCATGCAAAGGTAAAAGGAAATATTTACACATTAAAGCTATATACTGAAGTTAAAGGGGTACTATCGCCTGAAATCCACGGAAATTGTATGGTTTGGATTGTTTACTTATCGATTTCAAAGGTCTAGTTGAAAGGAGACTAACCTAATGTCTTACCGTTCCCGAGAAAAGACGGACGTGATGGCGGACATTTTGTGGCATACGCTTGCGTCTTTCAAGCCATGTACATTCAATATACGCTGTGTGTCACAAGTGCACACAGCACCAATACACGAATATTGTTTCTCGCAGTCCGCACAATTAGGGCCTAATGCGAACCACTGTGCGGCAGGATTTACAACTAGCACTCACTTTTTTACGCAAAATTATGCTTCCCTAAATTCGTTCTCGCATGGTTCTCGCAAGTGACAAAAACGCCCAGTTTTAAAGATGATCGTGTCCCCCCCCCCCCCCCCCCCCCCCCCCCCCCCCCCCCCCCCCCCCCCCCCCGTTTGAAGACCGTTCCTCCGCCGCCGCTGGTTTTAGGTGAAAGGAACTGTCAGTGCCATAATAGTTGACATCTGTTATCATGTTTTAGATCCCTTTTCAAATCAAACTTGTTCGTTTCTATGGTGTGGACTGTTTGGAAAACTTACCGCGAGATGTCACTGTCCTAGATGCAGAACACTGTCGTCACAGTTTGCTTCCCATCCACAACAGAAGCAGATGCGTGAAGACAGCGAGCAGCGATTATTTAGTAGCAACCTGTGCGCGTGACCCTCATATCATTATGATTCAAATCATGCAATGCAGAAAACGCAACAATAACTCTTTTATAAGCTTGCGTCTGGCTTGTATACACCTGTACTCTGAGCTCGGTGTATTTATTGTGGCCATTCCGTAACTGCTGTATCAAAGGCCAACAGTCATAGTTTAATTTGGGTACGGGTCATGCTCATAACGCTAAGCCCATGCTGGAAGGTGTTGTGCGTTCAAAGTTTGCAGTTCCTTGTGGTTCATAGTTCTAGAAATTTGGGATCAGTAAAATTAGACCCGACAGTCGCTCAACTTTGCAATGAAGTGGATGGATCCTTTTTCAAAACTGTTTTTAGTGACCATAAGTGGATTGAAAACTCACTCATAACCCCCCCCCCCCACCCCAACCCACCCCACCCCCCCCCCCCCCCCACCCCCAAAATGAATACCGATTACAAATGGGGTCTATCAAGCTTACATTTGATGTACGTCGAAATCACATGTGAGAGTTCTGGATATTTTTTTTTTTGATTTTTTTTTTAAAGTGTTGATGCGTCACTGGTGCCTCCTGGAATTCATTTACTGGTCTGCCCCAATTATAGAGACAGGGCCGCCACACAGGCTCGGTTCTAGAGCCTATATTTTAGTGGGGCTAGCAGGGGTGGATCCAGAAATGTTTAGAGGGAGGCGTGCTGAATTAAACGTAGACCGTTTTTTTCTTCGGACAAGCAGTGGCGTAGCGTAGTCATTTGTATAGGTGGGGTAAACATTTCTTGAAAAGGGCACTTGCACATCCGTGCTGAAATTAAGACACTTTTTTTCCCGGACACTTGGCCTTCGTAAAATCAAATAGAGGGGTGGGGGGGGGGGGGCTGGTACCATCTGTCGATGGGGTCGCTGTTGAAAACCGACGACTTTGCACACTGATGGGCAATAATATGGTGCTTTTCAGGGCGATACGTACGCGAAATTAAGAAAAGGCACCGGAACGGCCGATGGGACAAAAAAAGGCATGACTTCTTTTTAAAAGGGCACTTGTTCAGAAAAAAGGGCACTTGTTCAAAAAGGCAGTCTTTACAAAATATTGGGGGAGGGGTAAATTCCCCCCCCCCCCTTCCGGCGAATTTTCTTTTCATAAACGACATCCGCATATATTGTTTAGCGCCCTCTACGATACTTTTGTGATACGTACGCAGGTATATGATTATTATTTTCCCCAAAATTTGACAAGACACAAGGTCGTAATTTTGCACCGCAAGGTTGCGGATTCGAAATTTGGTTTTGTACCTGATTTTTTTTTCTTTTCTAACCTGAGCCTTTGGAGGATTTTTTTAAAGGGAAATAAAGTCCGAATTTTATAACGTTCGAAATAATTTTTTTTTGATTTTATATTTTTTTCTCATGTTTTTAGAAAAGTAAAGTCAAAAACGCCATAGCGGACACCCATATATTATGTGGATGTCGTTTGGGAGGAAAAAAATTGCTCCCGCCCCGTTGGCTACGCCTATGACCATCCTCCCAAAACCAATGAGAGGGGGGGGGGGGGCTCGTGCCATATTTTAAACTAAACGGTGGGGGGGGGGGCGCTGATAAAATCCTTCAATCATGCACACCATTGCCTAATAGTGTACGAATGCCCCCTTCTCAAGACTATTTTTTTAGGAGGGAGACCGTTCGCATGTTACGTCACCTTCTAACATTTTCTACCCCGTTGACAGGTGACTGCCGCTACAACTACCAACTTGGACGTTTGGTTCAAGTCTATATCGGCATGGTGTTTGTATAGCCATGGTAACACATGGTGATCCGTCCTCTAAAGTAGTCTTATCTTACCATCACCGACATTACAATTAAAAAACTCCGGAATGTCCAGACAGAATGTTTTTCATTCTAAGGTTTCCGCAAGTGGTACCCCTTATTATGCACTGCGTCAAAACCGATGGTCCATCGGATGATGGGAAGCACAGTCGTCCGCAAAAATATCCACTCCAATTCAATGTGATCATATGAAGAGAGGGGGAAAACAACTGAAAAAGGCATATATCCCACACATGAATAGTCCGCGAATTTTGTTATTTTGCGAATTTGAAAATACCTGGAAATTTATTGGTACACTTAATTATTATTATAATTATTTTCTTAGCAGGGCCATATACAATTTTGCTTCACTTTTAACAGACACTGCTTTGTACATGCTTAAATAAATGTAAGTTTTAAGATTATACGATAGTATTTTCATGTATTCTCTTCAACTACATCATGATCTCCCCCTTATAAAACTTCACCAAAATAACAAAATAATTTGTAGAGTTTGCGCATATAAAACTAACATCAATCTAATGTTAAGAGTTATTTACAAGTCCCTCGGTCATATAAAAAATATATACTGAATCGAACTGCATTGAGGCCTGCGTGGCTCATTTTTATGCACATTACCGTTTTAATTTCATTGAGGCCTAAGAGCTTAAGTTTATAACAAAACAGCAACGATCGAACTTTTATAAACTCGCGTTTACCCAGAGCACTGCAACGGAGCATAGCCAAACAAATCTGTCGTGGGTTTGTTGCATGCTTATAGCTCGGCATAAACTGTCCGGTGGGGAAATGTGTCATGAAATTCTAAAAAAAAAAAAGATTTTTCTTTTTTTAAATGGACAAAATGGTTTCCAAGAATGAAGTTCCAGACCAAAAAAATCATTTACAGACCATGAATCCTGAGCTAGTTTTTTTTAGCATGGATATTGCTACGCATAGCAATACCGCCCTCCGTGAAGACAATTATGACACCGTCCCATCGGCTGTTAGATACTGAACCATATATTTGTCTCCCCCATTAAAAGGAAATTGAGAAGCACGCCATACAATGGGGAAAGACAGGCGATAAAAAATATTTATCATTATCAGGGGCTTGAACAACAAGGGCGGATCCAGAACACAATTTTTGTGGGGGCAAAAAAAATGGATTGTAGACGCTCTGTGGTGCGATCTGAGGCTATTTCTGACCACTTTAACCAAATCTTTTGGAGGAAAAGATGGTGGTGTACGAAGTGCCTGCCTTTATTGCGAAGTCACTTGAAGAAAAAAAATGGTTTCGTTGGGGGGGGGGGGGCATGGCCCCCGTTGTGCCCCCCCCCCCCCCGATCCGCCCTTATTGAAAAACTGTACATTTCCATGTTACATAATGTTGTTCACAGTTCACATTAAACAAGCGCCCGGCCATATTCGCACCCAGTAAAGGCCCTGTCACACTGTCTGAGATCTTATATGCGCTCTCACTGCGTCCTTGAAAAATAGCTGGGACGCAACAACAACTACTAGATCGTATCGCAGCGACAACTACATAGGTCGCCAGATGGGCGCCAGAGGGTCTTAATGGTCTTCGATGAGCGCAAAGGTCTTTGAACATGCTCAAAACAATCGCAACACCTCTGCGCTTTGGCCAGGGCGCCGTAATGACGCAACTCGGGCGCTGTGCGAGCGTGAATCGTGCGACATTGAAATGGCATTGAGGCAGCTTAGGCGCAAAGCAGTCGACGCACGTAGTCTTCATGAGAAAGTAACTCGACTGCGATGAACTTGTAGAATAATTTTTTTAAACTGGACTTTGTATTGGCCGTTTTGTCGTGGTATTTATACAGTGCAAGTGACGTCAAATGAGCGTATTTTGGTCGAATAGAGAGCGCGACGCGAGCTACTAGGACGTATCAACAGCGAGCAGAGCGTAGTGTGGGCGCAGTGACAGCGCAGCGGCAGCGACTAGATCGAGTAATTGGGCTTGACAGGGGCGCATAGAGAGCGAGTTGAACGCATCGTAAGCGCGGGAAGAGCACAGTATGAGCGTACCTTGAGCTTCTTTGAGACAGAAAGCTGTCATTTTATTGCGTCTTCGCTGCGATTGTTAAATTTATGAAAAAAAATTGGTCGCCGTAAGGTCTCCTATGAGAGCGCATATAATGTGACAGGCCCTTTAAGTGAACCTTCCCCCCAAAAAGGATGTCGCAGCTCCCTTAATATTATTTTTTACACTCAAAGGCGTCTCATAATTTCAGCCAGTCATAGTGGAACATTATGCAAAATTCAGTCATGATTGGTAAAATGAACGGCTTAGATTGGTTGAAAAGTGTGCCACCTCGTAACTTCAGTCAGTCTTGGTAACATAACCTCGTCCCAGTGTAACCCGCCAGTGCCCTCCACCTTGGGGCCGACCATCATGCGCCCAATCGGTACCCGGCCGCCAGAGTGGAACCTGACCCTCATCAGCAAAAACTCTATGCAGTAGTCGGTCAGCTCCCGGCTAGGGCTGAGATGCAGCAGAAAAGGCTGGTTCCACGTGGGCTGGGAACCAGCGAGGGAGCGCGTTGTCTCTGACTGAACGACTGCCTGCTCTTTGCGAAGTAGATTCACTCCTATATAGTGCGCTGAAAAGAAGAACATAACGTGTAAACTATCCAAATTCTCTACACGAATTTCATTTATGCAGCGAGAAATGAATCGGAAGGAAAAGACGAAGACTTTTGGTAACTTCATCTTTATAGATCTAATGCCGGACGACTGCGAGGTCATTAACTGTAACAGTTGCCCGACTGCCTCTGGCATTCGTACCACTTATGACCGGTAGCAGAGTTTGTATTCTCAATCTAACTTCATCCTCTCAAGTATCAAGTTTAAGAAAACTCTTTCATGAAGCCAGTGTATCCTTGAGTTTGTTCAGTCATTTATGCAAATATTATTATTTGTGATTCTGCATGTGATTACCTTCACAAAAGCTGGGGAAGGTTTTTCATTAATTAAAATGTACAATTATTTTATGCAAAGTACAGACTAAAAAAAAGGTATAAGCATCAATGTATTGAACATTATTTTAAACAATGAGTTCACGTACCAACACTTGACGGCGTGCCGAGTAAATTGATCCCCGTACTCAAGTGGTCAGCTTTCCGTACCATCACCTTGAATCGACTTGCCGTGTACTGATACTGAATGGAGACGAACAAGTCCCCGAGACCTTGAGGGGTCTGAAGCTTCGACGCGGGATGTATGTCGTCTACAGGAGGGTGTGGTTCTGTGAGCTGCAGCGCTGGTACTGTATGAGACTGTAAAAAAAGACACCGGAAAAGTTCAAATTATCTTCTTGACGTTTGGGGGTTCGTGCGAATGTACGCCAGCAGCGGTGGAAAGATGAGATATGGATGCGTATGAGAGGTACTTTACTATAGTGATAGGTGATTCCTCAGTGTTTAAAAGTGGTAATAGCGTACCGTGACCAGTGAGATGAGTGCTCTCACCTCGCTCTCACTGCTTGGCCAAAATCTGCTTTCCTGATACGCTTTGCTTTCATGGAACGGTACATAAACACTGTAAAGCCTTCTTCACATAGCAGATATTGTAGTTGAGAAGATCGACTCATTCAACTGGGTTTGTGTTAATGTTTGAGGGGCCTCGTATGTATAACAGTGCATAATGGAATTTCAACAAGACAGACATGACCCTCAGTTAAGACTCCCAATCAACGTACGACTTAAAGAAAACACTGGTATTTTTGGGTTGGATCCCGTGAAGGGATTTTAAGACGAGCAAAGCATCACTATTGCTTAAAAAACGCGCACAGACAGATTATGATATATTGAGCTTATTCCAAGGTTTATGCAAGCGCTTGACCTAAATTAATAATTAGGTCAAGGCGGTAAAGAAACAGCTTGCAGTAGGCCCCAATCCCTATAGTTACGGTGCTGAAACCCCCGCAACTGCTCCAAGGGAAAATAAGGAAATTGGTCTGACATCACGGGGAAAAAAATACCAATGGTCAAAATGAATACAGAACAGTACCAACTTCGACAGGACTCAGAATAGAAAACATTTGATAAACTACTCAAGTTCCCTAACGAGTCACCCCTTGCTATTTGGTTCGGCGCGACCCCGGAACGCCAACCTGAAACAGGTATCAGCTTTTCATTTCAAATTTCATCATTTCTTTACTTACCCTTTGCATCCATTTGCTTCGTTTAAGCTTTAGTACCTCAGAGATCTCATAAACCTCATCTGCCTCCCGAATCAACGTCGCACAGTGCCTAGATGCCTCGGCGAGGCTTTCGTGGTGGCCTCCCCATTGTCCCTTCACGTACAACTTGAACCTTACAAAGATATAATATCGATTTCAGCCGTTGAAAAAGTAGGTTTTTTCCTCTATTGAATGGCCGTCTTGTGTTTTACGGTCATCGAGAATGTCGAAAATTAATAATCTCTGGCTGTTTGATTGTTGAACTTTTTCAGCGAGAACGCCATTTATTTCGATGGTTTGGCAATCATTGTTTCGCAGCATGTATATACGGTAAACACCACCAGGTACTTAGTGTGCAGACACTCGTGAATTTCTATACGCCCGAGGACGATGCTTTGTGTTTCCCTTTGTCCCTGTAAAATTACACTCTTCCATAGTAAGCAGTATAACAGTTTGATCGAGGACCGTTTTAACAAAACAAAAAACAACGCTCAAGGACTGAAAGGATCGTTTGTTCTCCCTTTGTCCTTGTGTGTATGTCCTCTATAGGAAAGCAATACATGTACAGATGAACATTATACAAAGCACATGATGTAGAAAGGTATAAGGAAACAATGCTTCCGCAAACAATGCTTTCCAAAAACCTTTTGATAACACACTCACCTTAGACTTTTCACCCATACCTCCTCCAATGAGATTTTCCTGAACTGCAGCTGGTCGTTGTACATGGGCTCCAGGGTTCTCCGCACAGTGCATGTCTGAAGGTAACCTCTACTGGTCTTCGGTGAGAGGTACACCCGCACAAATGACGCACAAGTAGGGCCGTACTTATTCGGTATGCCCGTGACTCCCTTCATGGAAATGACAAGAGTAGACTCTGCCGAGGAATAGTAGATGCTGTACTCCAGTCTAATCCGGACTGGCGATTTGCTTCCCTTGCTGGACTTGCGACGCTTCCGGTCTTCTCCTTGCTGTGTGTCCTCTCCTGTCTCCTCGGCTTCGGATCGAGTTGCCGGCGATGGTGGCGCCGAGATCGAATATGAAAAGACCTCCGAGCTGTCTGATTCGTCATCTAGTGAGAGGTGGCTCCCAAAGCGAATCAACCCTGGATTGTTTGGTGTTGAAAAAAGCATCAAGTTGTTCATAGATTTGGACCGTACGCGAAGGGGCTGGTTGATCGAAGTGGGTGGTTTCATTGAAGGTGCTAGCAACGAGGCATCACCGCTTCCACTCGCAATAGACTTTGTCCGCTTCCTGTACAATCTCTGCTTGATGCTAACCTTATGAGATGGCGTTGACGGTGGAGTACTTAATTCGTCTGTCGTCAGACAGGCAGATACCTCTTGGTGCGCTTCGTGACTCAGGATACCATCTCTGACTCCCCCGCCACAATCTCCCCGATCCACAACCTCCTGCTGTGCCGGTAGTATGATGGTCTCAGCTATTGCTGATGCTCCCGTGAAATCGCCGTTGGACATGATCTCATCTACAAGAAGGCGATTGATCTCCATCTCATCCCTTAGCTTTAATTTTTTCCTCCTTCTTAGGATCCTGCGGCAGATGAAAACCGCCACCAAGATGAGGATGATGACAAACACTCCACACAGGACACCAAGAACGACAACCACACCTGTGAGTAAGCACAAACAACATCAGTTAGTACATGCACAAAATGCAGGTTTGTTTCAAGGACCTTTTTTTTTACCATGCATGCTCAGATGATAGTGATTAAAGAACTCATTTTCAACACAAGAGGTGGCACACAATCGTTCAACCGACAACAATCCTGTTGTCCAATATAAACAAACAGTCGTACTCAATTTTGTTCATTTAATTCCTTTAATTCCACATTTTCTAAAGCACGATTTCGTTCATGTAATTTTTTTATTATACGTATTGCCAAGGGAGAAATATCACATCTACAAGTCGAAGGACAGAACGTTATTGATTGCCCCTGCTGAGAAGACCAAACAAACGCTCGCTCGCCCCCCAATGATTAAAAAATAATTCTTTGAATAAAAAATCAATTCGCACAACGATATAAATATTCTATGATCTTAAAGAAAGCGTAATCGTATTTAACCAAACAACAAAGTGAGACAGTATTGTGAGCTGTCCGTCTGTTGATTTTCTGTATTCTTGTTAGAATAAAATATCAATGTTTGTCTATTCTTCGTTGGCGTCACTGAAACTTGCGGAAAACTGGCATTCATGATTTATTATTATTTCTTAGGAAGGTCTAATAACACAGTTACCTAGTATACCAGTGTTTTGGTGGTACAAAAAAAACCCGCTCGCGCTCATTGAGAAAGTGCAGTGTTTAACTTGTACAATGTTTTTTCTCTGTTTGAAAGAATGAAATTAGTAGTATTAAGTAAAATGTCCTTGACAGTGTACTTGGGTTTGACGTAATTGACTTTTTACGTTTATCTGTTGCGGTCATGTACTTAGGCTCAATAAGGCTTGCATCCTGGGTTTTCAATTTCTGGTTCGAACGCTTACTTAGAGTCAATTAAACTTCAAGGGCATTATTGATCTGCATATGGCAAGAATAACAAAATAATGCATGGGGAAAATGACGTCGGCTTTTTTTTTGGCCTATTAAATAATTTCACACTTTATGAACTTGGTCGATAGTGGTCGATAACCAGGTCCCCAATTAGCAAACAAACATATATCAGGTTAGCGTATGTTCCTTTTCCCACCAATCGTCACAGGCTATTTTCGTGGTTTTTTTTTTTTTGGCTGCCAGTGCGAGAGTATAAAAACAGGTGGATTCGAGTGGATTGGCTCGTTGGAGCAAGCAGCGTTGAAACGTACATTTCTACAATGAAACATAGCGACAAAGTCTCAATTTGAAGGCACCACTCAAGCTCGATACGGCATTATACACACTTTTCTGCATTTGCAACTACGACAGCATGGAGGTATTGGTGCTTCATTTAACATCCGATGCAATGCTGCAGTAAAAAAAGAAGCATTAGTGTTTGACGCTACGGGAGAAACAAAGCATTCTACTGGGTCATGTGATGTATATTCCAAATCATCGAGATATATAGTACCGGTAGTAGAATCCTAGAGGAAAAGATATCGCTATAGGCCTACTTTGTGACGGAGTATTTTTTTTACGTACATGGATTCCATCTGGACGAAAGTGGGATAACTCGTTTATCTTGTAACATAACTGCTCAGAGACAATCGTATATCAGTCTTACTTCATTGAAGGTGTTCCGCTTCATGCAGTTCTTTTCAAATGCCGTTATGGAGAATTTAACGGAACCAATACTGAGCAAACCGCACATTACTGTCACACCCACCGAGCGTGTGCTGTTTTTGATGATCGACGGAGTCCTGTTTCTGGCCATCACCTTTGGTAACACGCTGGTCATCGTTTCCATAGCTACCTACCGACGTCTGCGGACTCCAACCAACATGTTCCTAGCGAGTCTCGCAGTGGCCGATCTCTTTGTTGCGTTCTTCTGTCTGCCAGTCGACGCGCTACTTGCACAGGGACTGATCCCCACCGTGTCCCCCTGGGTGTGTGTCGCCGGCAGTATGATGAACAGCATTGCCATTTCTGTATCACTGACTCAGATCACCGTGGTGGTCTATGATCGTTTTCTGGCCATTACCAAACCTCTGAAGTACAACCAGAAGATGACATCCCGTAAGGTTGCACTGTTCGTCTTGGCGTCGTGGACTTCTAGTGTACTGTTTAGCCTGTTGCCGTTTTGGGGCTGGAACCGCATCGATTCCTACAATTTAAATTACTGTGATCTGCTCTTCATTCAAGTATTCAGTTACCGATTCTCAGGAATTGTAATTATTGCATTTATTCCTATCAACCTCATGGCATTCATGTACCTCAGGATTTTCCTGATAGCTAGACAGCATAACAGGCGAATTGCTGCCGAAAACAGGGTTTTCAATCAACGGGGTCAGCGATCCCTTTCTCGCGACCTAAAAACAGCTAAAACTCTGGCTATAGTATTCGGAACGTTTCTATTGGCAGTAACTCCTGCCTCCATTGTCAGCTTAGCTGATGTTATTTTTCCAGTGAGCGATCTCTTCATTTATGAGCTCATATGTTTCCACATTCTCTTTGCTAATTCGGCTATAAACCCCATAACGTACGCTTTCCGTAGCCGGGAGTTTCGCTTTGCCTTCATCAAACTTCTCAGCAAATTCCTCCGTTGCAAGCGATGGAAGGAATTGGCAAGACGAGCAAACCAAAGCTTAGCGCACGAGACAGATTGGAGGGGTTAACCAGACAATCATTTTGCCGACTCTGATCATTAACTTGCCTTAAAATGTTATAGAGACAATTGTCTCAGACAATTGTAATCGGAGGATTGATACTATAGAAACAATTACCCGAGTCTTAGTCTTATCTTAACTTATCTTTTCCCCAAAAGTGGGATTTGGCAATATTTCGGTATGCCGGTTTTAGCCTACTTAGGCCTACATTATAGTCAAAAGGGTTTTAATATGCATTCAAGGGAACGCCGTGTTTTAGATGTTCCCTTAAGGTCGAGCTTCTAGCGTGTCTAATTCAAATTCATTTATGTTCGACATTGGAGCGGCAAAAAAAAATGTGGTAGTTTCATCAGGCGAAGCATTTCTGTTCGATGTGATTTGGCCTCACGATTGAACACAAGGGGAGAAAAAAAATTCACGAAATATACCATCAAACGTGTCGAACTCAATTTGTTTTCAAATAAATACGGGGTACAGAAACGTTCTACACAACTTTTTTTACACCTGTACGTTTGCTTTTAATGAATTGACAGGTACATATTATCATTTCTGTTCATTGCTTCAATATCAAATCAATACCATTCGAAGACAATAATAAATGGCAACATATGAGTCTGTACAATGTACTCAATAGAAGCAGTATTATATAGATGTCGGTCCACCATATTGCAAATATCGGAATAACTAATATTTGGAAATAACTGACATTTGTTTATTGTTACTTCATATCTTATCACATGTTACATAACAAATTTCTTAGTGGCGGGTAGTATCCTGTAGATTTATCGGTTTGTTTTGCATTTTTTTTTTTTTTTGCTTTTCTTTTCATTTTAGGTGACTTTGGGCCTGATAACATTATTGACCTTTATTTTCGGGAAAAAAATCAAAGATGTAGACAGGTGTCCGATATCTTATTTAAAAATAATTAAAAATATCAAAAACTGGAATAGTTTTCTTAATACATTAAATATATTTGTCGGGGTCTTGTACAAACACCCGAATCAATATACATGTGGCGGCAAAGAGAAATTGATCGAAAGGACATGCCCCCTCCGTTTTACAGAAGGGGTTGTCTGAAATGTGTGCAAGTTTATGTCATTAGATACTACGTAAACAAATTCGTTATTGAGTAGGAAAGCCAGCTTAGCCTTTGAGGAAATGGGCCGTTTTAGAACTGAATTGAGGTTTGCAGTGTCAGTGACATTTTCAGTGGCGATCGAGTTGCGTATTGCGTAGAGCTAGCTAGTAGATTTTGTTTGCCCTTTGTAAAATATAATTTTCGTCGCGATTTTGAATTTTCATCCATTTACGCCGTCCCTATTTTGTAGCCCTTTGCACTCTGCCGCTCTGCCCCCAACTCCCCCCCCCCCCGTTTCGATACTGCCCCCATCAGCTTTTGGATTTCCTATACTTGCTGGTACATGATAAAATCATACTATATGATGCTTATTATAACACTTGCTCAATTCACTACACAATTATTAGTTGTATTGTTTTTTTCTCCATGTCCACTTTTAAAAGACGTCGCCTCCGCTGCATGTGCGTACTGTGTATTCAGCGCGCAATTATTTACCATTGTACATAAACCCACCTGTAGTGCCTTGGACGAAGAGGCACCTTGACGTAATTCAATTCAATTTCAACTGCTAAAAATTTCTTCAACGTTGTTTCTTGCATAGTACTAAAAAATTAATCTTATAAGTAAACGCAGGCCGCTATAGAACGAAAAAAATGAATCTACTTAGTATATGAATCAGCAAAATACATAATTTAACAACTTTATAGGCATATGGTGAAGCAAATAGCTTATGTCCCCTGACCTATGGAAAGACAATTACAATACTCATGATCGATTGAGACAAAACACAAGGACAAGTATAAGAACATAACAAGCAGCTGTAACATTAGGCATTTACGAAACGTTATAAATACGAGTTGAGCAATTGAGTCTTATAGGTGTTTTTTTTTACGAATTAATAAAGTTCAGGATGTTTTAATTGGGTCACTCAGGCTATTCCAATTCTAGAAGCAAATACCACACCGCACAGGGTTATTTTTCAACATTAAAGTTCTATTAGAACAAACGTAGCCTACATATTTTTCTTTGAAACACTTTTAGTATTATATGAATGAATATTGAGGTAATTAAGTAAAACATGTACTAAACAACGTGGAAGTATTTTTTTTTTTTTTAGATATTTACACATGAATTTACCGAAATTCAGGTTAGGCAGCAGAAGTGACAAATAATGCCATTCCTATTTACAACGGCGAAGGCAAGGTCAAGCATGGTGCCCGTTGTGCGCAATGTTGTCGTCACGCTGTTGACATTTTCCTGTTTTATTAAAGCACTTCGAGAATTTTCTTTACCAT